CATCTTGCACAGAATCGAGTCTTCTTCTATCAGGATGTCTTATTGAAGAACGAAGCGCAGTGAACAACGGCTGATGTAGGAACCTGACTAAGAAACCCTGGGCCTATAAACCCAAAACAGTAGCTCAGCAGGATTCATATAAGGAACCCTAATCAAGGCCCAAGGCTTCTTAATCAGGTTCCTGCATTAACACCGTCGCACGAGCATCTCAAGTCGTTACAGGCAAAGGGCTCCAGCAGCTCAGATTGCTAGAGCTCGCAGATTGAGGCTAGGAAGCCATACCCTAAGGCACCATAAATGATAGTTCCTTTTGGGGATTACCTTATAGGATTCTAAAATTTGATCCACAAAAGGGAACCACTATGGGGCCTTAGGGTGCCTGCAACCCCAAACCCTACCAACACATTACCGTTTCCTTAATTACAGAGTAAAACTCTTTGAGACTTGTAGGTGATTGAAAGCACATGCGGGTTAGAAGCTCTGGGATTTTGGGCCCAAGCGGGAATGTGTAAGCTTCATAGAGCCTAAGTCTAGGGCTTACCTGTGAAGGTGTCAGGTTCAAGTTCTTGTCTCAACTCTAAACTCAAAGCCGCTACCGAAAGCCAAGACACTTCACAAAATCTCGCGAATCCCTGAAGCTGCAAACCCAACACTCAATCTTGAAGCCCTACCTGCAGGTAATTGGAATAGGGCACGGCATCGCCCGATAATCCCTCAGAAGCTAAATGGCAACATGCCCCAAAAGCTCGGTTTGTTGGCCATCCAGCCATATCACCCCATCTCCGAAGAAAACCTTCCACGATATTCACGATGCGACCCTTAGAAATCTTGTACAATACTAAACACCCTCTTCAGCCTATGAGTCCCCTCATATAGGGGCCTTAATAATTAGAATAGAGTTTTGGGGCCCGTTATACTAGACTTATGATAAGGACCCCCCAAAATAGTATAGGGAATCCCAGACAGTTGAACATCCCTCTTATAGGTAATTGTTACCCTAAGGCCCATAACATTTCCTTTTTGATCTTTTTTGGGGTTCATATATAGAATCCTATAAGGTAGTCCCAAAAGGGAACTACTTTGGGGCCTATGGGTCGGGCCCCTACAGAAGAAGCTCATTCCCAGGGCTCCCGGCGGCCGAGTTGGGCCCTGAGCCTGCAATGGGCGTGTAGGACAGAAGCCGGCAACCTCGCGGCCCGCTTTTTAAGGGGTTTTAGGGTTTAGGGTTTTAGGGTTTAGGGGTTAGGGTTGAGGTTGAGGAATTAGGGGCTTGTTTTCGAGCTCCGAGGAATTGGGGTTTATGGTTTCAGGAATTAGGGTTCAGGGGTTGAGGAATGAGTGGTTTAGGTGATTCTTTTCCCTGGTACCTAGCGAGGACAAAGCCCGCATTGCAGGGTTTACGTGATTAGGGTGCAGGGGTTCAGGAATTGGGGTTTATGGTTCCAGCAAATTGGGTTCAGGGGTTGAGGCAGTAGGATCTAGGGATATTTGGGGGATTAGGGTTTAGGGTTCAGGAAGAGTGCCTACAATAGTAGAAGGCTTTGCAGGGTGTGACAGTGTACATACCGTCTGTTTGCATTTGCGGGCCATAGGGTTGTATAGGGTATGGGTATAATAGGATCTGATAGGAGTTCGGGAGTTTGACCTTTAACTTTCAATAGTAAGGCTTCGAGATTTTCTTCGGGAACAATAACCAAAGGCCTGCCCCTATGGACTATTAGTATGTCCTATGGCTTGAAGCCTTGTTTGCAGGCTTGAGGGGTGTCGGCATTTGAGGGCCGTAAGCACTCATATGGGTGGTTGTCAAAATTATGGTCCCTTTTTGGGTACCCCAAATATTAGGTGCCGCATTATAATAAGGACCCCAAAAAGGACCATAATTTTGACAACCGCCCATATGGGTTTAGGGCCTTCAGCCTCAAAAAAGCTTACATGGCTGGATGAAGCTTTCAGGTTGGGGGGTTTGGGAGGGTTCGAAACTGGGAAGTACTGAGTTTAAGTTTCCAGGCGTAAGGAATCTTAGTGCTCATGTCCCCGTTGTTGTCGGGTTCGGGGCTTAGCATCTGAAGGAGTTTGGCATTTAAGCTTAAGGTTTCAGGATTTCAAGAGAGCCTGCAAGTGAGTGAGTTGAAGGCAGTACCCTTGGTCAGTAATGGTGCTCCGATCCTCGGTGTTTAGCACAGGAATTCAGTTTCGGAATTGCCACCTTCGCGAAGCTCAGCGAATATAGGGCTTAAACATGAACTGAGGTGTTGAACTTGTGGGGCCGCTTCGCCGGCGTCGGATTTAGGTTGTGGTTGCGGGTTGATTATGAAGGACCCGGTCCTCCAAATTTAGGGCCTTAGGGACAGTGGAGTGTTAAGGGTTCAGGGGTTCCCCTGAACTCCTGAACCCTAGCCACCAATGCTTTTCAGTGCGGGGGCCGGGTCCCCAGCAGTTCAGGGGATTACTCTGCCGCTCGGGCAAAACAAGAGGTCTAAAGGTCTGCCAGGTAGGCATAAGAACATGAAACGACTGACGAGTGAGGCAATGGGAAGTTAAGTTCAATGAAAGAGATAAGGGATCAAGGTGTTTTTGACACTCGCACTTGGATGAACAGGGATCAGGGCTCTGAGCTTCGAGGGGGCTTTACCGAGCTCCTCCTGTTGGCTCTCTATAACTTTGAACAGTTTCGTGATTTACAGCCGCTTGGAAACTAACTGCGGTTGAACGCTTTCTCTCCAGGTTGAGGGCAGGTCCTTCGCACCACCAGTCTTCGTGTAGCCGGCTGAATTTAGACCCTGAAACAAGGCTTTAAGGTTTACAACATTCGAGCCTCCATTGTAGTGGCAGCCGTAAGCAAAAGTGCTCTCAAGCTGATACCTCAGGTTGCCCGCTCGTGCTGAATATTGTGCTATACGGGGCAGTGCACCAACCAACTTACTGTACACGGGTGCATTTAGCCTGCAAACAACTGTAGGGCAAAGTCGAGCTTTCTTGCAGAGCCAGAAGACCTTACCACACTCTCGGGCAGGCAATGTGGCATGAGAGCAGACCGACAAGTTGAAGAGTATGACAGCAGGCGATAGACAGCGAGACCGTAAACCCTAAATCCCAAAATCTAGAACTGGGTTGTAGTTTTGGGGCTCTGAAAAGTATTTATGAATAGGTACCTCTATAGGAACCATACGGGAAATTAAAAAGTTTCCCAAATTGCCACCTATAGAATCCCTTTAATCCAAAAAGACCGCCTGCCAAGGATAGGGGCCCAACTCCATGATTCCAGGCTGCGCCTCGCGCATCATCGCCTCAGCTCTACACTCTGAACCGGAAACCCTATGACTTACCTTTGGTTAGTAGGGAATGGAAGAATGGTAGTAATAGTAGCTATAGTTATACCCCATTCCTCCATTCCCTACTAACCAGCTTTAAGTGCGATCCTATCTGACGAGGCTCTGTGGTGCTAGCCCCCGAAGCTTCTAAGCACTTCAGAAATGCCGAGTTGTCTTCAAAGCGGGCTCCAGGCCATATGCGCATCGGAAGAGATCCGGTTCACGTACCGGAGTAACCTGCTGCGAGGACTTACGAGCGTGGCATGCTGCACATCTTGGAAGCAAGTCTGAACTAAAGCGAACACTGATCGCATCCAGTTTCAGCCTTGGCTTTCGGTAGTGCTAGGCTCAGCTACTATAGGGGCCTTAATAAATAGAATAGGGTTTTGGGGCCCATTGTAAGATACGTATGAGGAATCCCCAAAAATAGCATTGGTATTATTTGGCCCCTATATTAATTACGTTACAAGGCCGAAGAAACAAGGGTTCCACACACTGGGACAGCTTCGGGAAAATCTCACAGCAAGCTTCTAGGAACGAGGGGACCGGTTCTTTGCGGGCACAGCAGAAAGACGGGCTGTGAGTTCCGGGGTGGATCGACATGAGAATGCTCCATACAAGTCAGGATGAACCCTATCAAAACAATGAAATAGATGTACGAGCAATCGCTCACATCTATAGTCTAAGGGTCACGACCAGAAGTTTTTCGAAATCCTCCGCTATCGGAACTCCGGCTTGAAGCGATGTTCCCAAATGCTGCTAGAACTATAGCAGGCTTCGACAGCATTTCTGAGGCACTTCGGGGAGGCCATGGAGTACGCATTGCGGCCTGATCTCTTCTGCGTTCTTGCGGGCCTCGGCGAAAGCTTCAGTTAGGTTCGTGCAACATCGATACCTCACTTACCTTTGGTTAGTAGGGAATGGAAGAATGGTAGTCATAGTAGTTATATTCATACCCCATTCCTCCATTCCCTACGATCTGCAAGGAGGTCGCAGAGTCAAGGAATCACAGCCCACGGAGGTGATCCTCAAAACGTAGGATGCAGCCCAGGTCGTGGTGACGTAGTGCAAACGGCACGCATGTGAACAAGCCGCAAGACCACTGGTTGATGGCGCATAGGAACAACATACTTGAGGTTGGGGGTCTGACTGACTGACCTGTAGTACAGGAGCGAGTCGCGCGAACACTTTGCGAAGCGCTGAGCTAGACTCGAAGCAGCGTAGAGGACCAAGAATGTCTCTCCCGCCAGGAAAATGAAAAGGGAAAAGGAGGGACCCTTAATGGGGACCCCTACCCTATGATGGGCAACATAAGGGTATATAATAGCTATGTTAAGGGTATATACCTACAGTAGGGTCCCTCCTTTTACCCTTGGAGAAAAACCACTCCGTAGAAAACAGTTGTTGGCCGATCGCTTTCCTGGAAGACTACAAGCTGCGAAGCCGTCATTGGATGTCGAGGCACGTAATACCAATTCCTACGTGCACACCCTGAAACCCGACAAACCAGGAGCCCTCGAATTTATTACATCTTGACGGTACCCTGTATCCCTGAACTCTAAACACTCAGCCCCTTACCTCATGCCAGGAATTGCAAAAGAGCTGTCGAGATGGGGCCCTGGCTCTGCATTCGTAGACCACCTCAGAGCAATGTCATGGTTACAGGATGCTATAGCGTTTTTTGTTTTTTTAACGGCCCTTTTCCTCCTGGCAGATAGCGGTTTGGTTTAGGGTTTGGGTTAGTTGATTGTAGAGATTAGTTGATTGTGTTTTCGATGTTAAGCTTTTTTGGACCCCATCCCGACATGCTCAGAAATCCTCTCCATCTTCGGGCCGCAGTATACATGCAATGCCTCCTTTGAATCCCAGAGTCTCTGAGCCGCGGTTTGGCCAAGCAACGAAAGCCCCCGAGGCCACCACCTCTCGATACTTCTGACATCGAACCAGAACCGAAAGTAGCCACATTCCCTCTCGATTAAGAGATCTTACATGTAGTATGGTGCAAGATGGCTTATCACCTTTCAGCATCTCGTGCTGCAACTTACAGAGCGTGTCCAGTCACCTACGCTTCCGGTTTCGAACGTACGCTCTGTTATGAGCCTGGGACATAACTGTGCCTGGCCTGTAGCGTACTGTCGAGACAACCGTGACAGACCATCCTTACCTCACTTGGACCGAACTTCTAGAGCCCTCAACCCAGAGGCTGCACAGTAGTTCCTTTTCGGGATTACCTTGTAGAATTCTAAACATGAACCTCAAAAAGGAACTACTATGGAGCCCATGGGTAGCGCCCTAAACCCCAGAACCTTATAGGAGTTTCCAAAAATTAGGGGTGCCATACTGTGGGGTCCTTATATAAGGATCCTACCATTTAGGGTTACTATATTAAATTTGGATTCCCCTCTTTTCGGAAAGTCTCTTCTGAACCTCGAAGGCTCCGAACGAACAGCCAGGCCCGGCGCTGCATGCAATGCTGCCGTGTCCACATCGTAGGCTTCGAGGCCCTCGAACTTGGCGGGGGCGACCTTCCGGCAAGGATTTCGTGGTTTAGGGTTTGGGGGTTTAGTTGTGGCGCCTTGGGGGTTGAGGGTTGGGGTGTTGGTATTTAGAGCGGTTTTAGATCGGGTTTAGGTTTAGGCTTATATGTTAGGCAGATGGGGTCTAACATCAGGATTTAGGGCTCTATGGTGTTGCCCGCGCTACCGCCCCGGCCCTAACCCCGAGAAGCCGCACTAGTCACTACACGCCGTAGGACCCAGCCCGGCAGGATCAGGAGGCAGAGGTCCCGATCAGCTCTCAGGGCGTCTTAGGTGCATGATCCAAAGCTAAGGAGTGTGGTTGGACGGTTCTTCAGTTTTTTTTGCTTCCGGCATGCTATTGCTTTTATTGTGGGCAGGATTTGTTCAGCTGTTTACCAGGAGAGTACGAGATCGGAACGGTTGAGAGATGTGGAGCTTGCTGTTTTCCCGCCCTGAGCATCCAAGCTCGAACATCTAGAATCGCGATAGCATATGCAATATTTCTTGCACTCGCAGACTCCGGACAACTCTCCGGCAACATGGCAGCACGCCCTTGGTCGAGTTTTTGTTGGGGGGGTTCTTATTACAACCATGAAAAAATGGCCCCCAAAACCCTTTTTTGATTATTAAGGAGGCCCCTAGATTAGCCTTTCTTGGGGTAGCCCGAGACCTGAGCTACCCAAACACGCGAGTTCGAATTTACTCGGATGCGAGCAAGAATGCCCCAACTTACCTTACCATATAGGATTCTAAATATGAACCCCCAGAAAGGAGCTACTAGGGAGCCTACGGGTAGGGCCTGGCTTTGCTTAAACCTCCAAGCCCACCTCGTTGCCGCTGTCGGAGTTCACCCCGCGCTGCAGATAGACTTTGCTGGGCGCGCGGCCTGGGCCCGTGCCCTGATGTGCCTCTAAACACGATATGCCGGTACGAATGGGGCAAAAAAGGACTGAAACTTAAGCAGTTGGTGATAACTTCATCTTTATTGGGGCCGTCTCATGGGGTGACAAGGGTGATGCTGGCAATGATGGCCATAATGGTGATGGAGGTGGTGGTGGAGGGCCGTGGCCCATCCTTTCTGAACTAGTTGGGGCCAAGGCCCCTGTCCCTTAATTCTCAGCCCGAAATGTACCTTGAGACTCGGGGCTGCTCTGATCTGCTCGTCTCTGAGGCTAACTCAAGCTTTTGCAGCGAGAGCTCTGCCGGGCACAGAAGCAAGCTTACAGCCTCAGCAAAACCGCTGTGGGATCCTGGACATGCCAAGTGGAGCTCAGACTCAGCACGCGACTTTTAAACCACTCCGCAATCTGGTCCATGTAGACCTATGGCTGTGGTTGTCAAATTGATGGTCCCTTTTTGGGTCCCTACTATGATACAGCACCTACTAGTAATATTTAGGGCCCAATTAGGGACCTTAATTTTGCCCTATGGCTGTGGGACCTTCCTCTTACCTTTGGTTAGTAGGGAATGGAGGAATGGGGTACAATTATAACTGCTAGTATTACCATTCTTCCAATCCCTACTAACCAAAGGTAAGTCCTCCGTTCCAAGCTGGGTCACCCGCCACTTCCTCGACTCCGTAGTGCTCTCTCATCTCCTCGCAGCCGTTGATTTTGCCTTTGCCCAGGACCGACAAGGCTGTCCGTAATGTAGGAACCTGATTAAGAAACCCTGGGCCCTACAACCCCAAAACAGGTTCCTAGATAATCAAGCAAGATTTAACCTCGAGGCCGAAGACTGGGCTTTTAAGTCATCAGTCAAAAAAGTAAACGTTCATCTCAGGATGATTATTTCAGCAAAAGGTCAACAACACATATTAAAGCATTGTACCCCGCCACCAAGCAAAACAACAAAGACCTGTCCTAACCCTGACGAAGTCTCTCTGCGTTATCTGCACTACAGTCAGCATCGCCAAGGTATGCAAAAAGAGACAGCCCAATTTTCTAGCTGTAACCTCAGGCACTAGATCATACTCCCGACATGCACATGCAATCGTAGCATGAACCAGCTTTGGTAGTAGTAGTAGTAGTAGTAGTAGTAGTAGTAGTAGTAGTAGTAGTAGTAGTAGTAGTAGTAGTAGTAGTAGTAGTAGTAGTAGTAGTAGTAGTAGTAGTAGGTAGTAGTAGTAGTAGTAGTAGTAGTAGTAGTAGTAGTAGTAGTAGTAGTAGTAGTAGTAGTAGTAGTAGTAGTAGTAGTAGTAGCAGTAGCAGTAGCAGCAGCAGCACCAGCAGCAGCAGCAGTAGTAGTAGCTTTAGTCGACGTACTTAGCACTGTAGTGCTGTAGTTGCATTAGTACGAGTAGATGAGCACGACATGACACGCGAGCACTGCACTCACTCACTACTGAGAAGTGGGCCCATCCAAAGTTCATACCTGAGTTTTGGGGTGACCATAAGGTTTCCTCCAAGGTCTTTTTAAGGTCCCGGATCCATGGCTGTAAGAGTAGGCACGAGTTTATTTGCGGATCTTGGGAACTTAGGGACTAGACGTTCTTCCGGATTTTACTGCACTTCTCGATGGTTGCTACAGGAAAGACCAGAGCATCGACAGCGTCTAGGCACATTACAATCAGGATTACACGTGCCATCGGACCGAGAAAGGCTGTTGGAGCTTCCAAACACACCCCGAATCCTGACGAGCGTGAACAAGCAATGCTCAAGCATGGCATCAGAGCTGTCCCTGCAACATCTTTTCACCCTAGAGTACTAATTACTTGCATACCAACTACGACAAAACATGGGTTTCTCAAACTCCAAAGAAACAGAATCCGTTTTCTCTTAAACTCAGAATCCTAGGCCCTAATGCCCCTCGAAGATGAGCCCGCTGACTCTGGCGGCAAGCGCGGTGCGAAGAGCGTAGCGGCCCCCGACCTCCGTGATCACGGCGGTGCATTAGGGCTGCTGGGGTTTTAAGAGTTTAAGACTTTGCAGAGCTTTGTGTTTAGAGGGTGCAGGGTTTTGCTATGTGCTGTCCAGGTTTCGGCGCTCACACTCGACAAATGCCGGCAACAGCTCCGAAAGTAAGTAGCCCCGACATTCGCTGAGCCGAGAACTCGAGATCCAAACATCCTTGCGAAGGATCGAGAGGTTCCGTGATCACATCAAACAAAGTTAGCAACTGAGCTGTATCAACAAAAGGCAGCCAGCAGCTATAAACAGGTACGCGAAAGTGATCACACATTTTTGCATGTCGGGTATATATGACGCGAATGTACACACAAAATACAGCACTCAAGTGCGCATTTGCACATAAATTCGTTTGTTTGCCATGTACCTCGGCACTTGCAAATCCCGGTGATGCCTCATCTGCGTGAAACTTTGCTGCCTGCGCATAGCTTGCCTACTTCCCTGGCCCCGCACAGCAAGCTAAGCGGTTCGCAACCCCGACACCTTAAACCCGGAAGCCTCAAACCTTCGTGTAAACAATTGTACAAACATATGGTAACCATCCGTAAGTAAACGCCCGATGTTTTAAAGGACAATGCGGCAGTCAACACCGGAATCTTCCCCAGGAGGCTGCAAACACCGGAAGCCTTCCAGAAGGCCACAAAGGCTTCATAGAATTCTACCAAAGTGTGTCGGATGTTAAACTCTCGCAACTCGGACATGCCAGACGAGGTCCATGCGTTCGGGTCGGCAACTCTATGCATCAATACTATAGTATATTACAGTAGTATATTGAAGCATATTCTAGTATAGTATAGTATAGTCTAGTATAGGTACAGGTATAGAACACTACAGGTTTGATGAAGCCACCGGGACAGATCAGGCACAAGGAGTTGCAAGAGGCTCCTGAGACAAGAGCAAAACAGGGCTTCCAACAGGAGGAATTCCTTGCTTCCTCCATTTTCAGCGTCTCCAAAGGGAACCTGGGAGTTTCCGAAAATTCGGGGTGTACCTTATTTGGGGGGTCCCTATAATAAGGATCCTACTATTTAGGGTCCTATATTAGGGTCCCGGCCCATTTTCGGAAACCCCCCAAGCCTTCAATGAGGAGACCCTCGGGCCCGAGGCTCAAAGATTTGCCAAGGAGCCCATGAAGCCCGGCTCGCGGACCTTCGTCGCGAATTTTGCGACTGAACATCGGATCGTTGGGGGGACAAAGCTTCACAGCGTCTGAGCCTCAGACTCCGAAAAGGTAGTGGAAGGTGCTCTCTTGTCGGAACACGTCCTGAAAAACAGAGCATCATCGAGACTTCAGTTGTCGTCCAAGTAACTGCATCTACCAGCACGCCCTTTCAAGCGAGACAGGGCTTCTCTTTTTGATTGGTCTCTCTCTCTCTCTCTCTCTCTCTCGCTACCCTCTCGCTTCCAGTCAGCACGGACACGAGACTCGTGCTGAGGCCATCTGATAGTACCTGCTGCCACTCCTAACAACAATGCTTGGTAATCCTCCTTGCTACTATAAGTAGAGCTTGGTATTGCTTCTTATTGCTATAAGTAGAAGCGCCCCCAAGAACGGTACCCTTAATCTTCGCTCGCTCTTCTTCTGTCGAAGTCTTGCCTGGACCAACATTACAACACACGACAAGCCCAAACACCTTCTCTGTCAAGAACGACGGAGTGACATCCTTGCAGGTTATCCTAGGGCCCGAAGATTTGCCGAAATTTGGATCGACCCCCCAACATCATCGGCTCAGCCCAACAAGCACTGAGCCCGAAAGCCAACAAGGACAAACTCTTCCCAAAACTGCCCCCCACCCCTAAACCCTGAACCCTAAAACCCTAAGCCGGAAAAGGCCACAGGGCCTCATGGTCTGTGTCGTGTCTCAGAGGATCTCCCCCTCCGGCAAACAGGAGAACCTGAATCCGAGGGCAAGTTGCTCAGAGCACAGACGTACATACTCTAGAAGCTGCCCCCACCCTGTAATAGTGACTATAAGGTTTATATAGGATTATATTAGGGTCCTAATATATTCCTATTATACCACTATCACAGGGTGGGGGCAGCTTCTAAGACATACTCATACGAGCCCCAAAACCCTACCACAGTCACCACAATCACCGTGGTCCCCCTGAGCAGAAGCACTGGCAAAGATGAGCTGCTGGCACTTCATTCGAATATAACATACTATGCTAGACTATAAATAGTGTACTAAAAATAAATAACATGCTTTCAAAAAAAAATTAAACATGCACAGACAAGCCAGGCCTTTCCTGAGCACAGGTTCTTTCATAGGGATCTGTAGTAAATATACGGTTTCTTTATTATGGTAACTTAAAATAGACTCCGGAACACCGGAACAAAAACACAGCTTTTCCAATGGTTCCAGGGCGACGGGGGGTTGCCTAAGGCTTTCGGGCTGAATGACAAAAGCCAAGCCCTGGTAAATCTAGCTGAGGGCTTGGGGTTCAGGGTCTCACACGAATTGACATAGGGTTTAGGGTATTTGGCTAACAGACTGACACATCCCGCGGTAAAAGATGCCACCCTGAGAATAAAAGCAGATCGCAGCCGTCGAGAGTTTCGCATTTACGCCCTTGTGCCCGTCGCACAATTGAATCCGCGAAGCCTATAACCTACACGCCCTAAACCTGCAACATCTTGCAGCCCAATCCTCAACTTCCTAAGCCTACGCCCTCAAATCCTGAAAGTCTAGAAACTGAGTTCTATGGTCCTATACACTCAAGCCCACAAATTCCCTTGCTTGTGCCAGAAGTGGATGTCTGGAAGTGACACTCAAAGCATGATTTCACATCAAACTCTCCAGCTTTTCAAGAGAGGCGGCTTCCTTTTTGCAACTGGGCTTGGGCTAGCCAGATTCTTGCATCACGGCCTAGAGGCGATTCCGTAAACCCATCGAGCCCAAGGAAAATCTTGGCTTCCAACGCCCTCCTGACCAACTGCCCGAAATCGCTCCAAGAGTGCCTCATTGGGTTTGCTCGTTGTTCTGGGCGCGGCTTGGGCTTGGGGATTCATGCTTTTTCCCTCCTACCTAGCAAGGACAAGGCCCGCATTGCAGGGTAACTCCGAAGCAACTGTTGAAAGAGCTGTGCTGCTGATTCATGTTTTGAGGTTTGGGGTTTCGGGGTCTTGCTTTTGGGAGCCTGCTTTTGAGGCTTTCGCATGTTTGGGTTCGGCCATTCTCGGTTTGACAGTGTAGCGAGGCTCAGAAATGCCCATGCTGGGCCATGTAGAGGTTCTGATCAAGGACGCAGAGCTTCTTGTGCTCTGACAAACCCATGGTTGGAGCTTTGGGTTTTTCTTGTCTTGTGACAACTGGAAAGGGTTCACAAGAGGCTGTTGGGCAGTATTTATGTTAGAGCCCAACCCTGCCTGCAGGTTTTGTATTCTAGTTCGTCTCGCAATGACCATCCTCTCGACAGGAGCACAACACCTGCAAGCAGGCAACTATGTACTTGCAAGCAAGTGCACCCCTGAGAACCTGTGCCGGAAAGATGAAACGCAAGGCAAGTTCGCTCTGTTCTGGGCGGCGTGCCTCACGAGCCAGCCCGTGCAGCTCCACGGAGAAAACCTTCAGTTGCCAAAGGTTTGGCCACTCGCATGTTTAGGGTTTGTAGGGTTTAGGCTACCCTAAACCCTAAACCAAGGGCTATCGTCGAAGCCCTGAGCCCCGACGGTGCGGTAGCATCCACCATGCCGACAGGAGGCTCTGTTCGGGGAGGGGCGGGAGGAGCGGGAGGAGGCGTTTGTTTAAAAAGGCAGCTTCTCAGGAATGCTGAACCCAATCGGATGCATTTCGAGGGTGCTCTTCGTGCACGCTTGTGTGCGTTGCTGTCTCTCTCTTCTCCTCCCTCAGTGTTTGTCCCCGGATCCGAAGAACCACGACCACGACTGCAAAGTTCCCACGTTCCCACTCCCCAAAACTTCCAAAACCCCCTAGTACACGCTGCCAGTCCGAGCTGCAGGTCCCAGTGTCTGCACGGGTGCCGGTGGGCAAGTAACCGCAGCACGGAGCTGCGTCGGCGAAAAGCCACGCGCCCGAGTTGAGAGGGTCCCCCTTGCAGGCTGAGTGGCAGCAGTTGAGGTATCCATATCCAAATCACTATCACATGGAGGGGATGAGTTGCTGGTTTAATGTGCCGTGGACTTCGGCAAATGAAGGAAACCACAAGTGTCGAGCAATGCCCGGCATGTAATCCGAACGCCCAGACATTGTGCGAAATGCTGACAATGGGTAAAACGAGCCTCGTTGCAGGCAGCACCTCTGTTTGTTTGTCTCAATGGATACATTTACGTGTAAGCCCGCAGGTGAAAATTTAGACCACAAGTGTAACATCAGGATTTCGTTGTTCGTCTCTTTCAGGCTTTTCTACTCATGCATACGCATTAGTGAGACTTACACCGACAGGGACCAAGAAGACGACAAAACCAGTTTGTAAACGGATCCATGCAAACGAACAAACGTCTGCACGATCCGGCTTCTTCTCTCTGAATGCATCTTGCTCACTTGCGACACTCTGCGACGAATTTTAGAATCACAGGGTGGCAGAAAGAATGTGGTGCCTCGCACGCACACCTGCGTGATGCAGCCGGATGGCACGAATGGCCGATCTGCTGTGCCACCTGGCCAGGGGAACCTTGAGACCCTCCAGCTGCTATGGTATCTGAATCTACTGCAGGTTTTTTTGTAGGTAGAGTGAGCTTTTGGGACCCATTGAACTATAGTTATGATAAGGAATCCCCAAAATAGTATTGGTAATTGTTTCGACCCCCTATATGAAAGGCCCTGATGTTCGCCATGTGACTAAGCACTACAATGATAACAATTATCCTAAGTGTGTGAGCGTCAAAGCCCGTCTGCTACATTGAAGCCTGACATGCAAAGTCCCAAAAAAGCCATGGCATGAGCTCCAACCAGAAGCGCCATCTCCACCCCCGGACACTCAGAGTGAATACCGAAGTTGCAAACCCAGAGGCCCAGAAACAGAGCCCCAAGGCACCCCGACACAGTAGCCACCCTGAACAGCAAGCCATACGCTCAACCCGCTGATGTCTTCCTGACCCATGAATCCTACATCATGAGCGGCAACACCACAGCCATAAAGCCTGAACATCACCCTGTAGACACTAAACCCTAGATTCTTAATCAATAGAGTCTTTGCATTCCGTGGCCTCCTGGAGGGGATGAGAAGTAGCGAACCGATAGCGGTCATTCCGAGTCGTAACCTGGAGATCGCGACTTGAGATCTGGCCTGCGGAGTAACACTTTGCCAAAGCCACAATGTAGGCTGGGCTTTAGAACTGGAACAGGGTTTTGCATAGGGGTGTCTCAAGGTATGTAGGCGCTTGCATTACCCCTCTGCCGAAGGCCGTTACTAACGGACAAGAAGGGGTTATGGCTTTTGGAAGAACTACGGCTTTGCCATGTCGAGATCGAGGCCTCGGGTTGAGGACGTACAAAGCGATTTCGATTCGTAGTTTGCATCTCGCCGATGTGTGGAGGCTGCGATACAGTAGCCGCTCAGCAGCAGGTCAATCTTCAAGACAATAATCACAAGGAGCCCAACGGTATAGTACTACTCAAGCTCAAGCTGCGAACGCTGAAACCCCCAACCTTCTACAATTGGCCCCAGTACTCTCGAAACTAAAACTTAGAAACCTGAATGAAGGTCAGTCCTCTGAACCCAGAAATGGCCTCTGCCCACCTTCCTTCGCATGGAGCAAATGAGTGCGTGACCCATAACAGGGGCTGCCGCTGGTCGCCGCAAGGCTCCGCTTTCTGCTCGCCTGCAGACAAACGACCACCGGAACCTGCACCCTTCGTTTACTTGGGTTGATTTCCCTCCTATGGGAAATGGTGTTGTTTTGGTGGTTTAAAGTCTAGGTTTTCAATGTTTTGTTGGAAGGAAATGGCAGAGTCTTTCGTCAACGGGCTTAAATCTCTCGTTTCTGTCTCTGCAAGCGCACGCATGCAAGTATACATGTGTCTGCAGATGTAGTCTTCGGCTTTGTAAGGACACGATAGCGATTGCCAACATCAAGCCTCAAGGGACTACCTATGTACCAATGAAACTATTTTTGTTGGTAGCCCTTCTTTTTTGTTCGGATCGTACGAGGAAACAGGGTAGCCAACAATGAAACTGCAAGTATGGCCTAGAAATAAACTTGGGGTTAGAAATAAACTTGGGATTTTGAGGCAACACGGGGAAGACTATTCTCGTCATTGTTCGCTACTGCTTCTGCCCCTTCAAAGTACTAGAATCTAGAAACTGCATTCTCTCTTAATAAAACGTGGACTCTGCTCTTAGGTTATGCCAGAGTACATAGACTCAGATAGCCACCCAGAAAATATTCTTACAAAGACTTCTAAGACCTTATCCAAAAAAACAGAACTTTCGCGACGCTACAGAGTCTGGCGCTGCATTGATTCGTGAGTCTATACATAGGGGCCCCTTAATAATGTCGATACTATGATTAAATACATGAACACCCAGAATAGTATTGGTACTTATTTAGGCTCCTGTATTTGCTCAACTCGGATCTGGGGATCCAGCGTGTCGTCCCACGGCTGGAACCTCGCGACCGGGATTGCCTTGCGGTTCATGAGCTGCGTGTTGCGAGTTTTTTTCCCTCCTACCTAGCAAGGACGAGGCCCGCATTGCAGGGAATCTTGGTTGAAAAACTGTTGCGAGTTTGGATTTCAGGGTTGGACTTGGAATCGAGTACGGCTTCTCCGGGCTCCTTGTGGGGTTTTGGAGAGGTGCCAGGCCCCTGGATTAAGGATCGAGTAGGGATGCTTTCCTGCTTTCTATGGCGGACACGTAATTCATGGTGAATCAACGGATAACGGAACCTTCGGGAGTTCGGGGGTTGTCTGCCGAAGCCGCGGGGCACCAGGAGCTTAGCAACAGAAAGGCTACCGCTCGTCTGCTTGGTCAGCCCCAAACCCTTTTTGAACGAGGCCTCTCTGAAGTGCCTCCAGCAATTGAACTTCAACAATCTCTCCAGCTCTCCAAGAGAGGCAAAGGCAAACATGTCTAATTACAATATAGCTGTGTACTGCTGCCCAGCGTGATCATTCTTCAGCTGCGCGCTGCAACCTGGTCAAGCGTTCCTGCCTCCTCAGGGCCTTCTGTGTTCTCCTAGCGTCGGCATTCGCTTCCTTTAAGGCCTGTAGGGACGTCACACTAACATCTGTTTGTTCAACGGACTTGTGTGAAGGAATCTGAAAGCAGGAGCGAGTGGAAGAACCATCGTTGTAAACATTGCCGACCACGGAGAGGATTCACAGCCTCGCCCACCTTCATATGTCGAAACCCTAAACCCCAAACCCCTAAAGCAGCCCAGGCACTTTGAGGCACCAGGGGAACAAACGCAGAACCGTAACCAGCCACTGCCATCTTCAGACGACAGAATCTAAACTTCAAGCGAAGCTGGGGGTTTGAGCCCAACATCCGGCGAAACACCACCGCAGTAGCACAACGCCAGGTACTGATGCAGCAAATCTTCGTGTACACAAACACAGGCATGATCAGGTATGAGCTGCTGCAGAACTGCTGTCGATGCAGAGGGGACACGACGATATAAGCCTTAAGCAACAACGGCTTAGTTCACGAACGTAGCAGTAGATTATTGTGTGTGTGTATATACATACACACTATGCATATAATGTAAGTATTTATGTACATATGACCGGAACCGGCTCCACAAGAGGGTACTCAAAATCTTGGTATGGTCTGACATGTCTGTTGTTGTCTAAAGCCTGCGATGAAGAAATTCAGAAAGTCTGACTCTCGTGCAGTCACGAGGCTACCTGGGCCTTCAAAGTATGTAGAATTATAGCCTTTTATATGTATTGGGCCATTATTTTACCTACTTTTGGGGGTCTAGGTAAGCATATGCAACACTGCGTTTGCGCCACAGCTTCTTCCGGTTGCACGTGCTCGTGTGCTCTGATCTCCGGGAGACGCACTATCCGGAGCTCAGTTTAATGCTTCTGCTAGCAGGGCATACATTACGCACAGCACACGAGAAGACTTGCATTTCTTAGACAGGTCACTGCCATGGCATCCGCACCAGTGAAAACCATAATGTTCAATGGCGATGCGTGTTGATGCCTGGTTAAATTATTCAGTATGCAGAACATAGCTGAGACCTGGTCAACATGTGCCCATGCACCCCAGTCGTAGTCCTGGTGTCAAGGGTAGGAAGGCTCCGCACGCCACCTCTTTAAAGGTGCGATGCAGTGGATTCCTTCAAGGAAAAATGTTCACGGGTTCTCGGCAAACAAGCGTAATTTTATCCTGAAGCGATCAGTTCACTGGACTTTGTCGCCTGCCTCTGGCGAGACCCGGACTGACATCTTCAGTAGCGATCAAAGCTTGCGCGGCGCTCGCGCCTGAGGCATTTCGCACATCGAACTTTGGCAAGAGAGGGCCTAGGCCTGGGGCTTAGGTTGGGCTTTTGACGGCCCGCAAGGAATGGCACGAGGTCAACCCTAAACCAGACTCGCGCAGGGGGGCCATTCCCGAGTAATCTCCTGGACATGCTTGACTGGGCGTTTTGCCTATTCCGGACTCACTGGGGGCGAGCCTGACTCGTCTAACTTTATTCCGAGTACGATGGGCCTTTTCAAAAAAGTATTCGACAGCCCTTCTGGCTATACTAGACCTCTATACACAGCCTAGACCTACTACAAGCACCCTACGTAGAGCTTACATCACTGCATCCTAAAAGCCCTGAACCCATAGTGCGGCGGGGCGCATCTTTCGCAAAGCTTGGCTCTTGAGCTTCTTGTCGTGCAGCCGCTTCTCGTTCGCGGCTTTCCTGGGCGCGTGCGCCGTCTTCGAGGCTTGGGTTGAGAGGCTGGGGAGTTGAGAAGGTCCAACACCATCGGGGATATATGGCTAGTATGATCATCATCATCATCAGCAGCAATATGATCACTATTATCTTTATGACTGATATAGTATGTATGCTTCTTCATCCCATATCACTGATCCACCCTAGACCCGAAGTTGGCCGAAAGTTTCCAGTGACTCACAGCATCCCTCTCTGGCCCGAGGCTGACTGCAGGGTTTATGTCTGGGACCGTGAGCAAGACCGTTCGACTTGTCTTAGAACTTGGGTTTCGGCACTCCCGCTCGGACTTGCGTGTGCGAGGTTCCTAGGACTGGGGTTTCGGGTTGAATTAGGGTCTAAGGTCTACATTACATCCCCTGCACCAGGTTGTGCGCCTGACAAGTAGTACAGTAAAATCACACTGCAAACCAACATGTGCTGTTGTCTGCAATTTCGTTGCTCCATCTTGCTCCTAAGCCTCTTTCAATGGCACGCTCTGTTTATTGTCCGAAACCCCTTAACCCCAATCTCCAAACTCTAGTCTAGTCTGTCAACCTAAACAGGCACAGGCGCTATAGAGTCTAAAGTGAATTTGGTTATGCATGCATGCATGCACGTATGGGTGTGGGGGCGCATGCAAACATGCACTGATATCGGTACTGATATGCACACATGCGCATGTGGTTGATCATTGATCATGCTCTGCGTATTATTTCGGGGCGGTGCAACCCCCTATCGTTCTTCAGCCCTGCAGCGCTTCGCCTCGGATTCTAATGCCCCAACATACAACTACAAGCCCCGAAGCCCTGAGCTCGCGGCTTTATCTTCTTCATCTTGTTCACCTTCGCCTTGTCAGGCATCTTCGGCTTCAGCGCCGCCTGTGTTTAAACTGGAGGCTACAGTATGTTTGCTGTATATGGGGGGGGGTGGGGGTTTGTCTCAAACTGTTGGCAGGGTTCTCAAATTCAGTGTCTGTAGTTGGCAGTGTCTGTGGTTGGTCGCCTTGGTTGCTGACCCCCCCCACCTGGTCCACCAGAAGGGCTTGAAGCGGCTTCAACCATTTGTTCTAGGGCTTCCGGGGCCTAAGACTTACAATCGAGGACACGGGAGATTTAGGAGTTCTTGCAGTGCCACCTCTCCCGGCTTTGTAACGAAATGGCCACATGTTGCCCGCAATACCGTATCCAGCATGCAGCAGTCGCGACAGTACTGCGATCCCAGCCATCCTTTAGGACAGATCACTATAGCACCTAAACCCTAAACCGAACAAGGAGGGGCTCAACTGAGGCTGGGGTTCTGACAAAGCAAGTGTGAGTCAGCGCCTAACGCCTCCCAAGGTCGTCAGCAATCCTAGCCCACCATGTGGGAGTTTCCGAAAATAGGGGACCCTAGTATAGCACCCTAAACAGTAGGATCCTTATCATAAGGACCCCAAAACAAGGTACCACTATTTTCAGAAACTCCTATGTGCTAGTTGGTTTTGTGCGGGGCTGTGGGCACTTGGGAAAGGGACTGATCATATCACGAACAAATTTCTACAAATTGCCCCATAGGCCGAATGGCATTTCATGCCGAACCCGAAACCCTTTTGGATCCTTGCAAGGATCCCTTATATGGTTCCTCTGAAAGGATAAACCCTAAACTCTGAGCCTTGTCGATCATGGCCTGCAGTTTCTGCATTACCTCGGAGCAATCTGCACAGAAGCAAGGCCGCGCAAGGGCGGTGCTAGTACTTTACCGGCAAATGTGCAGCAACTCCCAAATCTGTTCAGATAGCCCCGTTCAAGGTTTAAACCAATAAATAAAGTTTAGTCACTGCTACATGTCTTCATATCAGACCTCAATCACCGGTGACGGCCGAACAGCGGTGGCCGCCTTCCAGGGCACAGGTCTGCGAATAGGGCTGAATAGGGGTCTACAATGATCTACGGGGCCCAGACATACCCTTGTAGAAAGAACCCCAGGCCACTCCAACAAAGCCAACTGCGCCTTTCGAAAGGGAGCGGCATAGACTTAAATGCCGCCTTCTACTACAACATGTGCTACAAAGAAAAAAACTAGTACTCCGCTCCGTCGATCCCAGTCCCCTCAAGTTGCTCCAAGAGAAGACTGGTTGCGATCCGCGTGTTATCTTGTCGCGTTCGCTGCTCCTGCACAAGTGATTCACAGCTTGTGGTTACTGCTGTCAGCACTATCGTTCAATCTCTGTGCAACGCCACAGTTGGAACTCGGCTCCTCGGCGTCTACCATGAGAATGCCGTCTTTGTTGAAGCGTGACGCCTCTGTCCAGCGTGACGCAGCAGAAGGTTTTGAGTCCGGTCTTTAAACTTCAGTGACCCCTACCCATAGGTCCCATAGTAGTTCCTTTTTGGGGTTCACACTTGGAGTTCTCCTAAGCAATCCCACAAAGGAGCTACTATGGGGCCGATGGGTGTTGTTTCCAGGCGCAAGGGGAGACACAGTGAGGCTCGGAGATCGCATCATGACACATCGAAGGTGCTCAAAAGCAAGTAAGGAATTTCCGAAAATAGGGATACCGTATTTTGGGGGTCCTTATAATAAGGATCCTACTATTCAGGGAACTAAATTAGGGTCCCCTATTTTCAAAACCTCCCATGAATCAGCAACACACCGAACAGCACGAAAACCTGAATCCTGCACTCTAGCCCCAAAGCCAATAACCTTAAACCCTACTAAAACTAAGGCCAAGCTCTCCGACAGACTCGAGGCTCTCGGAATCCTCAAACATAGCAGCAGCGCAACACTTTCGTTTTGAATTCTGGTGGGCTCGGGGAGTTTAGAAACACAGAGTTATGAGAATGAGAAGATGAACACCGCAGACAATGATCCGAAATAAACGAAACCCAACTAGCTTCTTCAACGCCCTCGCCCCTTTAAAGACTCTGAGAGGATAGTCCGGAATGCCTACCACCCAAGCCCCAAGCCAATAACTGAATTAACCTCCTCTTGCTCTGGCCTCTTGCTTTCTCAAGTTCTCCTTCACCCATTTGGGGAGGAAGTTGGCAGCATCTACATCGAAACCTAAGTTCGAACTTGCAAGCATCGCTTAGGTTCCGGATGTGGTTCTGGGGTTTTTAAGTTGTGTTCCTGCCGATCAAGGCTTTAGGGTTTGTAGGGTGTCTAAGATCAATTCTGGTGTTTGCCCGTTTACGCTTAGGGTTTCTACGCGACGGGGGCTGGTTCGAGCGAGTAGCTTACCTTTGGTTAGTAGGGCATGGAGGAATGGGGTACAATCATAACTACTAGTACTACCATTCTTCCATTCCCCACTACCCAAAGGTAGGAGGCCGTGGCTATGATCTTTCGGTTTCAAGAGGCCCCTAAACGCTCAATGCCAGGCCTAGAGTTCGGCTTTTAGGTTTGCGTTGTGTCTTCTGGCCGCCCCCTGCACAACCTTGGCTTTCCACCCAAACCTATGCTACTTGAAGAGCACTAAATATGCTGAAGCTCTCGAAATAAACCCTGGTTTCTGGGTGCCAAACAAATTCCTGGACCTCCTATAACAAGGACAACTTGGACCCCTCGGGTTATGTAATGCAGGGTATTCGGGTCTAAGGAAATCAGTTCCTCTCTAAAGTGAGCTTGACTGGTTCTATTATGCTTGCTACTACTTTGTGGATATTAGTTGCTCCGTTGTTCGTCTCCGAATCCTCCCGCATTCCGAATTCCACGCGTCCCTAAGCAACCTCTCAAATCGAGCCAAAACCTCAGTCGTTCTTTTGTCGGAGTAGGCTTTGTGTGACCCGAGAAGCGAATAAATCGCACCCTGTCAGCTCGTTTTACCCAAGTAGCCGAGCTCTATAAACGTCATAAAAAAAACACTGAAATCATCCGAAGCCCTAGAGGTTGAAGCTTGCAGGTCACCGAAAACTCGCAACTAGGCACCGGGCTCGCTTGCACACGTGTTTCCACCTGCCGGCCGAGTAACACATCATTCCGGTGGAGGACTGCTACAAGGGCCTTCGTAGTTTCGGGAAATGTTCTTGCCTATGAGACTGCAAGGGGCTACTGCTCTGAAATACTCGGACGGCTTACACTAGCAGCAGGCGCAGATCGTGTGAAGCTGAAGTAAAGCATTATAAAGCATTTAAAGTTGGCCTTCCTGTTAACTGACTGAGCCTTGGGACTCGAGCTACAGTACTACGGCCCCGAACTCGCCAAAGCCTCGCGAAACTGTATGGTTTCGGCGCTCACTCGTTTAGGGCTTAGGCTTTTCGCGTTTCAAGCGCAGGTGCTCAATTTACCGTGCCTTGTTCACGTTCTGCCCTCCTGGACCACTGCTGCGGGAATAACGCAGGTTGACCTCGCGATGACAGGCGATTCACTGGCCAAAGATGATAGTCCTACAATCCTCACACCTATTCCGCTCCTCCGATCAGTCAAACCCACTTAATTCGGAATCATATCCCGGGAGGGCGCTTGGGCCGGCATGCGCCCGATTAACAGTAGTATGCATTATAGGGAGTCCCTCGGCATCCTTGAAGGGTAAAAGGCTTTGCGCCTAGGGCTTCAGGTGCACTGCAAGGCTCGATGTTGAACCCAGTGCTGCCACGAGTCATCCTCTAAAAGGATCCCACGCTTCGGCGGCGGCAGGTCCTTCGCCTTCTTCGCCATCTGTGCAGCTCTCTCCCCTGCGCTGTGTGAGGCTCAAAAAAACAACAACCCTTGTGTCAAGTAGGGGTCTTTGACAAGAGAGCACTCTTACAACTATAGCAGGGATACGCGGGGATCCTTGACAGTTTTGGGCAGGTAGCTGGGACCGTTAAAAGAGAGCTTTTTACCCTAAGTTTCTGTAGGTAGCGCCGATTCCTTGGTCGACAAATGATCTTGCAGTGGCACACCTGGCCTGGTGTCGCCCTGCCGGCAAGGCAGCTATGCCTAGCGCACAGGAACTCAAGTTGGAAACTCATGATGATAATGACAGCGGCAATGCAGACTGCATGGCCACTCTCAGAGATCACAAGTAGGGGAAGCACGTGTGATACCACTATTTGCGAACAAGCCAATCGCTTAATGACTCTGCAGTATGGGGTATGGGGGCCGTCGGCTCGGGGTTTCGGACCGGCAGCTCAAGTTTCAGTGCTTATAGACATATTGTACCGTTACCTGACAGACAAAGTCCTGAACCACCAGAACCCTAGAATTAACGGGGAGACTGCAAAGCAAGCGATGTTAGCTGCAGGCAGCCCTTTAACACATTAAGCTGCACCGAACCCAAAGTCCTCAACAGCGAAGGGGTGTAAGTTTGCCCAATTTAAAAGCAAGGGTATCCCGCAGACCTACAGCATGCTACAGCGAAGCCTTGTGCCCCCAGACCGACCTCACACTATGGCCCCAATTCCTAAAGTTTTAAAGCCACCATGCGTTCTATGCCCCTGCATTCGCCTTCTCTCCGAAGCCTGCTGCCCTGAACCACCCTCGTTCGCCCCCAAACTCAGATTTGGATCTGAAAGGTCGTGTTGCAGAGCTCGGAACCACGAAATGTGGAAATATTATCCAACGTCCCACTTCACTGCGCCGACTGCGCACCTTAGGTTGAACTTCACCTGAAGCTTGGAAAGTACTGTGAGAGCGCCTGGGGGAGTCTCTGTATGCTTCTTAAGGTTCTATAAGACTTCATCGACCCTCTACCTTGGGCTGCGAACTGCGAAGCCGTGACTTGAAATATCACTGATGTAAGTCCTCGTTGCCTGAAGCACTACGAAACCCGGCTGCAATGTGTCTTGCCAACTCTGAAACCCCAAACCATCAAGTACTGGCAATGCTGTCTCCACCCACCCACACGCAAGAGACACCCTGATACAACTTCGAATCTTCGAACATTCCTCGACCCCTACATCCCAAAACTCTGAAGACAGATGCCCAAGCCGTCTCAACCGTCAATAAAGTAGAATAGAATTTTGAGGCACGCTATACTGTAAGTATGAATAAGGAACCCCCCACATAGTATTGAATTATTCAGGCCCCCATATTACAGAGCTGAGCCTGAGCCACGTCTGCCCCGTAATCTGGATCTTAGCGAGCGCTTATAGCTCTCTTGAACTTTGGGGTTCAGGATAGCTTGCAAGCGAGATCCTGAACCCTGGGCCCAAGGAAGGGCGAATAGAGCCCCATTTGTCTGTGACAATGCTATAACCCTCACAAGCCCCATGAAAGAGCTGAAACCAATAAACAAGCGGTTATTGTAGACAGAGCCAGAATATGCAAACACCAAGCGATTCACCAAATCCTGCCTCCGAAGCGGCTGTCGGGAAGGTCCCAGCACGAAATCGACGCAAAGCACCTCTGAGGAGGGGTTGTCTAATGGCTTACTGCAGTCAAGCACGGGATGTTCCAAGAAGCGACGGTCTACCTGCGGCTTGCTGGCGCTCCTACAGATGGTCCCGAGAGGGTCTTGTGGAGTTCACGCCCTTCAGGATTAGTAGCGGGTGTTGGGCGGATGGATTTAGGTTTTAACATTTTGGGTGACTCATTCCAGTTCTGTCTAAAGTAGGTTTGGGCCTTAGGGGATTGGATGTACTAATACTATTAGTAATCATAATAGTATTAATAGTGATAATAAGAACCATGGGAATATTATGGGATTATACCGGTTCGAATCCAGAGCCTACATTCAGGCCGCGCTTAACAGCCAAGAGTTGGAGTTGAAGAGCAGCGAGCTCTAGGAAACCGGGAACCGAATCCGTTGCAGCCTGAACCACTGCAAGGTCTACATCTATCAAAGTAATATAGGGGCCTTAATAATTAGGATAAGGTTTCGCGGCCCATTTTGCGATCAGTATAGTAAGGAACCCCTAAAATAGGATGGGCAATTATTAACGCCGCTATAATCATTTCTTCCAGAACCTAACCTGCGCTTAATGAGTTGTCGTTCGAGGTTGCTGGCCGAGAGCACATCTGATGTATCTGATGTTTTGGTGGAAAAACCGCGCTGACTATGCGCTCTCAGAATTATGGAATTTGGAGGTGTGCATAGCAGTTAGTCGCGAAATCCAGGATCTTCACAGATGGTCACAGTTACAGTAGCGCTGCTACTAACCACGTAACCACGGAATATCACGGAATCATAAACATCCTTATTGCCTGTAATACGTGTCTGAAGACGCTTGCACTTGATTTTCTTCCTACCAGACTGTGTAAAGCGTGAGACCAGAGAGCTCTGACAGTCTCGAGCCTGCGCCAGCCCCAGTGCTGCAAAGGAGGCGAGCACGGCTCGCCCCGAAGGAGACATGGTGTTCTTCGGGCGCCAAAGGCTCGGGGAGTAGGGCTGAGAGTCTACAGGCTTTGTTGGGGGTGTGCTTTTCCTGGCTGGAGCAGGGGTGTCAGTCCACTTTTTGTGGGCTGTCCTGAAATCGGTGGGGCTTCAGAGCAAGGTCTGCAGGTTGAAGGCTCGGAGACCTGTGTTGCAGTGACGAACTGCTGAGGCTTCTTGGGGTTTTTTGCCAGGAGCATCTGCAAATCCCTGATGCGTGACATGTCCGCTATAGCTCCTAAATCAACAAGCCTCAATGTCGGCGGGTTCAGGTGCCCTCAACCCTCTCTTCTTCTGATGCAAGCATCATGCCGAGTAGTTGTCAAGGTGAGCACGGGTCCCTATGCTCGCCAGCACTATGCCATTTTCACTTCCATTTGCCCACAGCTCCTCATCGTCAAATTGGACCAGGATGTGAAGTTTGTCAGGTTTCTCACATTCCTGAGTGTGTGCTCAAGCTCCAGTGGGATCGGCCGCCAGGGACAGCAGCTTGTCACCGGGCACTGTGCGCAAGCCTGCGTGTGGGTCACCTCTTTGTTAGCTGCTCCCGACTTAAGATCCGCGACACTCCTGAGCTGCGTTGTAGGGTCCGACAAGTGTAGACCACGTGAGCCCTACTTAAAATTGTAACATCGCCTCGCGCTGGTTCGAAGTAGAAAAAAGGGATGCTCCGGATGCCGCAGAGCTTCAAGAGCTCTGAGAGAAACAGTTGGCCAAGAGTTTCTGCAACGACGCCAAAAACCTTCCGCCCAGGCGACTTCTCCCGGTCGTAACGATGCCAATGTTGCGACGAGGTCTTGCGGACCATATCCTGGGCTCTCGTTGAGGGATTTAGTTGAAGTAACATACTAGGGATCTATAGTAAATACATGTAAATCATATGGTATCCTTAATATGGTACCTCAAATTAAATTCCTGAACAAGAACCCAGTATCCGTCTCTCCATCGAAGAACATGGGAAGCGCCATGAAAGCCGGATCGACCATGACAATCTTGCCCCGGGATGCATTCCGAATGTCGCTTGGCCATGAAGCCAAGAGCTTCGATAAGGAGCTCATTGCATTCCGCGCGCGGGCCCGACTGATGCCACACTCTCTTTCACAGATACGAGCATTGAAAGGGCTTACGGGCCCCAGGCAAAGTATCACTTTCCCACGGAAGCTGGGGAGCAAAGCTTTGAAGAGCGGCCCCCAGAAGAGCTTCAACTCTGAGTCCAGTTGTTGCATTCGGGCCTGGAAGTTCCAACCCAGTTCGATGACAAATACGTCCGGCTTGTCCTCCGGAAATCTGCACCAAATCTGTCGCAAACCCAGAACCCCAAATGCAAAGCCCTGCTATATGGAAACCACGAGGTCCCCTTAATCTGACAAGGGTCCCAAAATGCCCAAAACGGAAGAAGTCCAGAGCTCTCAAGTCCCCTTTTTGCGGAAGCAACAGCTGCAAACCGACAAAAGAACTCCATGCCAAGAAATCCTTAGCAACGCCTGGAAATTAAAAGAAACGACTCCGCTTCTCCTCAAGCATCGTCTTCCGGATCCGGGCAGCAGCGTTCGCCTTGTCGCTCTTCCTTGGAGGACAAAAGCGGGTTTCGTCTCTCACTCTCGCACGCGGAAGGCAAAGCTCCACACACGTCTTTTTGTTATTGAACCCTCGCGCCTTTTAGCCGCACGCCTCCAGACTTCCAGCATGAGGGAATGGAACACAACAGACAGACCGGGGAGATTTGACCACCCGCACCATCACTATCCCCAGTACTAGCCACGACCCGTGTGTTCCATGTGGCCTGCAATCACATCAAGGGGCAGCTCCCTTCCCTCCCAACCACCACAGCACTAGATAACGCAGTTTAAGAATAAATAGTAGTAATAGTAATAATAAATACTTTTTTGTCGTAATACTAATGAATAGTATAACAATACAGCGGAGCTGCCCAAGACGTGAATAGGAGCTCACAGCGGAGTAACCTCAAAACACGAAGCCCACGCCCTACGCTCGGAAGATTCTCAACGAGCTGGGCGAATTATCAGTTACAGCATACTCTCCGACGAGAAGGCAGGACGGGAATCTAGGAACATGGCTGCTCCACCATATATAGGAGTTTCGCTTGGAACACATATGAACACATGAAAGAAACATCAAGCAAGGATTCCCTCCTGACTCGCCAGGACTGTGGCAGCCTCTACATGGACTCCAAGCTTGTGCGGCATTGTTGGGGCTGCAACCGCAAAGAACCACGAATATGGGGGCCCATTATACTGTAATCATAATAAGGAACCCCCGAAATGAAATGGTATTGGCAACTATTGAAGCCTCTAGTCTATTCTATACAACTTCCGCCGCAACCGCATCACCTCTGTGAGGCGGACTCCACTCTGTCTGCGATCATCCCGAGAGGTAAAATGACATGAGCGAAAACACGGGAATGGTGTAATACAGATATTATGGGGTTGGCAATATACAGATACAGCATCGGATCTTTGACAGAGAGAGGACTGCTTCCAAACGAGGAGTCACCACAGTGTTCTGAGAATTTTTACGGCGACCGCCAGAGATCGGTCTCAACAAGAGGCATTGCTGCTGGCTTGCTGTCAAACACACTCAGTTCAGCCGTGGTCCGCCCCAGGCAGGATTTATACATCCGGTCGGGAACTCTCCTAACGAGACTATCCCGGTTCCAGGTCACCGCAGCATTTGCGCCACCTGCAATTGCCCAGCTCCACCTCCACAGAGCTGTGCAGGCGTTTTGCCGGCAGCATTCTTGGCGTACTTGTCGGCGCCCCGCTGAAGAAGTAGCTGTGCTGTCTGTGGGTAACCGTTGTAGGCACAAAATGCCAGTGGCGAGATGTGATAATCTCTGCTGGCCATGTTGGGGTTGGCGCCGGATGCCAACAGGAAGTTTGCGTTGGACTGCGCAGCCTGGCTGAAGGCTTCGGCCTGGGCCGGAACTCCCCACCCGTTCTTCTGATACCTCAAGAGATTCAGTAGGGGCGTGAAGCCTTCGAAGTCGTAGATGTCCAGATTCACCCTGGCACCCACCAAGACCTTCAAGACACCCATTAGCGCATGCTGTCTCGCGGTCCACTGGTCCACAGTCTCAATGGATTGCGGCGTCCTGACTGGCTTGTCCGAAGGGTTGAGGTGCTTGGTGAACTGAGTGGACAGGCTCAGAGGAACTTGTCCGTAGGCATCCTTCACGTTGACGTCCGCGCCGTGCTCCACCAACACCTGGGCAACCTCAGGGTGTGTGTTCCAGGATGCGATGGCCAGCGGCGTTTTCCCCAGCGCCCCGGGCTTATTCACCAAGGGCCCGGCGCCTCCTTGCAGCAGCGAACCAGCTGAGTGAGCAGAGCCGGCGCTGGCCGCATACCACAAAGCCGTGTTGCCAGCTCGATCCACTTTGGCAACGTCGGCACCGTGCTGCAACAGCACCTGGCAGTCCTTGCCCGCTGTTGCTGCCACCATCAACGGGGTCATGCCGTGGTCATCCTCGTGATTCACATCAGCACCCTTCTCCAAGAGCATGTTGATGACAGCCCCTGGGCCACGTGCTTCAAGTGCCACGAAGAGCGCAGTCCGGCCTGAACTGTCGGCGTCGTTCACATTTGTGAAAGGATTGTCAAGCAAGGCAGAGACAATCCCCACGCAGCCGTGGAAAGCTGCAGACTCCAAAGCCGTCCTCCCCTTCTGGTCTTTGTGGTCGACATGAATGCCCTTCTGCAGCAACGAGTTCGCGGCATTCTCGCTGCACTTCAGGCAGGCAACTTGCAGCGCGTTCTCCCCAGTGTCGGTTTGCACTTGGATGTCTGCGCCGTAGTTGATGAGCTCTTCGGCCAAGGAGTCGCAGCCTCCCGCCAAAGCATCCAAGAGCGGCGTGAAGCCCTGCCGATCCCTCGCATCGACATAGGCCCCGGCTTCCAGAAGCATTTGCACCTCAGATGCATGGCACTTCGACGCAGCACAATTCATGGGATGCTTGCCATTGTAGTTGGCATTGGGGTCGCCCTTGTTGAGCCGCAGAAACAATACCAAAAGGCTCGAGTCAGACCCGTAGTCCGAGTCAGATCGGTAGCCCGAGTCCCTGCGCGGATTCCACGACGGGGGGTTGCAAGCCACGTCTACCATGAGCCTGTCCGAGACGAAAGCCCCGGCCTGAAGCAACGGCTCAACGAGGTCCGAGTTCCTGTGGATGGCATAATCGAGCACAGAGTTGTACATAGAGCACCGTGCACGGAGGGTCTCCGGATGCCGATATGCCAATGCGAGCACCACATCTCGGCGGTTGTCACTCAATGCATGGCACATGACTTGATCCCAACTTAGCAGATGACCGTCATCGTAGCTGCTGTCGCTATCGTCACGTGAAATTTTCCGTCTGTAACGATCACACTTCCTCGAAGAGCCGTAGCCGCCGTAGCCGTTGTAGCCGTTGACGTACTCATCCATGACGGCCAGAGATGACGAAGTGCGGAAGACGGCGTGATGAACGGTCAGTGTCGCAAACACGAAGAGGAGAACAGTAACGGCCACCGCCAATGATCTGTTGAACCAGGGCTTCAATCGGCTCAGTGCAGTTCTCTCATGGTCGGCAACATGTGGTCGATCCTCCACATCCAGGATTAGTTCGCGCTCATCGCCATGCATGGTCATGGCCGGTCGTTTTGTTGTAATGATCGGCTCTAGTCTGATGCCTTCAATGGCTTGAGCCAGCACTCGTCAGGTCGACGATTAAGTAGAGCTCCAGAACATCACCTCTGCAATGTTTGCAGGTGTCGAAGGACTCGAACTATGTCAGGGTGTGACTGTAAACCTTTGTCCGGTCAGTATAAGCGGGACATTTTGTGACCAGGCACGGGAATTTCTGTGCTGCTGCGGGGCTCAAAGCGGAATGAAGTTCAGCTCAGGTTCCCGTAGCTTGGCAGCCGCCAATCCAGAAATCCCAAATGCAGGTTATCCACCTGGTACCTCGGCAATAATTACACTACCAGTACTGCTTCTGCTGCACGGTCAGGGCGACAACATGGCACATCTGTTTGTGTAGCTTCGTGCTGCGTCTTCATAACTGATCTTGTTCCGATACCCAGCAGTCTCCACGCCTACTCTGCTTCAACTTCTCTCGCTTGCACTGCAAATTCTGACTCTTCCGGACGAGCAGCTCCAGATGCTGTCACTACGCTTTCATTTTTCATTTTCGGCTTTCATTGCGTATGTGTGTGTGTGTGCTAGCGGAGGTCAGTTGAGAATGCAACTGAACTGAACAGGACTTGTGCATCCAAAAACTTACCATGGTCATGGTAATCATGGTACCCCTAGTTCTACCTAGCAAACCTCCGTGGGATACTTTCTCAGCTAGCATCTACCTAGGATCGTTTTGGGAATCTCCACTACGTTGGAGAAGCCCCCTCCCATATATATATATATATATATATATATCATTGCCTGCCTTCTACTGTCTTTCTCGAAGCTGCTCGAGCCAGCCCCAGCACTTCACCGTCGTACCTTCGCCTGGTATACTCGGCACTCCCGCGAACGATTGCCAAGCGTTCGGCACCAAGGCATCAATCAAGGACTGCAAGCTGCCTAGGGTCTTTGCGAGAAACAACGACATCGAGAACTCCCATAATACTAGACGTGACCTTTAAAGGCAACTGTAAAGGTGCCTTGAACCCAAACCGGCCAAGCTAAAACCCCTAAAATAAATAGGTCCCTTCTCCGAGAAGGGGGGCGCCTAATTGTTTCGGAAACAGCCCAGAGAGCCCAATACCCCTTAATTGGGGAACATAGCTTAAATCATAATATGAATCCCCTTATGACCTTAAGGAATTTTCCTTGAAAAAAAGGTGTATTGATTAAGCTATATTCCCTATATGAATCCCCTTATGACTTGAGGTATATATTCCTTAATTAATTAAGGGGTATTGGGCTCTCTGATAGCAGCCTCGGAGAACCGAACTTCCAGCCACCACAATCGAACGGCGCTCGGACATCCTTTCCTCGGCGAAAACTTGTTCAAACACCCCACAATCGGGACGGTTTAGGGTTTAGGGTTTTTTATTAGGGTTTAGGGTGTATGTAGGCACCTGTATGAAGACTGTTTATGCGACCACCCAGCCATACACACATAAGCACACCTACGTCTGCGCGTGCATACATACAAATACATGCATACCTGGCTAGCTACCTATACACTCCTACACAGGCACATACTTACATACACACATGCATACATGCATATATGTATATGTACAAATACTCTACATCTATGACTATGATCAAGTTGTAATGGTAGACGGTGTCGTGATTATCGCACGCAAATCCAAAAAATCTCTCCAACACACCCAGTTTCTGCCATTGCGAGGGTCTCTTCCGGATTGTAAGCCTTCCAATAGCAGCTCTTTGAAACGAAGGTCCAGCCGTCCCGAGGGCAGCCCAAGTACCCACCTCACTGCGCCAATACCCCAGAAAGCAGAAGCGCCGAGTGCAGAGGTTAAACTTGCAGAGTGATACAATACAACCTCTGCACTAGACCTTATTATGCAAACCTTACTTTTTATGGTCAAGATTTTCAGAGCCCGGGAAACTTCAAGGTTGCACATTGGTAAACTAAGTCACAGGAGGCATTCCCATCGCTGAGGCTTCGCACCCATCTGCCCATCAGCCTTGCGTCATCTTGCGTGCCAACAGCCGCAGGCGGCAACAAAGCTCACAAAACACGAAATGCGCTCAACTCCGGAAATCGAAACCCAAACCCAAAAACACTAAACTCCCCATGCAAGCCGGCGTCGTGCTCCTTGAACCCGGAACCCTAAACCAGACCCTAAACTTTTGAACCCCACAAGCCCTACAGTAGAAGCCAGAAAGTTGGAATATCATTATCGTAACCCCTTTAAGCTAAATTATAGGGGATCCTACCATTAATCCATATTCCAACTTTTTGGAGTTCCCTTTAAACTTGAGTTGGAAGAAAGTGGCTCGTCAGCCCCAAGTTCGCATGCACGCAGTGGAAGATCTCTCAAAGCAGTGGCTGGTCCAGCACCCCCGCCAGGCTGCTGGACCACCTGCATATTGTGTATAATATATATATATATATATATATATATGTCCACGAGAGTTAGGGTTTGGGCATTGCGACAAATCTAATACCAGCTGCGCGCCGTCGGCCCCCAGCTATCAACCTTCCGGTGATTTGGTTGCTGGATTCACGACTTACCCAAAGGCCCCAAAGTTGTTCCTTTTTGGGATTTCCTAATGGGATTCTATATATGAACCCCAAAAACGAACTACTTTGGGGCCTTAGGGTAGAGTCGCCTCTTTCCTGGCCTTTGCGCTTTACTTACCTCTGGTTAGTAGGGAATGGAAGAATGGTAGTACTAGTAGTTATATGGTAGTAATATGGTAGTCATATGATAGTGATATGATAGTCATATGGTAGTAGTATGGTAGTAATACTAGATATAATTGTACCCCATTCCTCCATTCCCTACTAACCAAAGGTAAGTTTAAGCCACAAGTCAAGTTGCAGCTGAGACAAGTGAAAACTAGACAAAGCAGGAAGCAGATCACCAAAGGACTACCATATGGCTATAAGGGTTATACTATAAGCAGGTCACCATAAATCCTACTGTATGAGAGCCCCTGATGCCTCTGACACCTTGAGCCTCTGTGGGCTGCCCACGGCTTGGATTTTGAAGGCCCGGGGATCGGAGATATCGGCTGCTGGCGAAGGCACGACTGCCAGAAAGTGTACAGTATATTGACCCGGATCTTGCAGGCGGAAGCTGAGAACCCACTTCTCAATCATCGTCGAACGTCTCCCAAATTTTACCGGTACCGGCACGCCAGCTTCAGCTGCCAGGAGCGTGTCGTCAGCAGAGCGGATCCATGCGAACACAAACGGTGCCGCGTAGAGATTCTTCAATGATTTGGCGACTACTAGCGCTTCGACCTCCTTGTCGACACTCACCTCCACGGTGCCGTTTGCAGGCCACAGAACTTCCAGATCCGTTCTCACGGACAAGTTGGAAGACTCCCATACACGTAGCGCGTTTATGGCAGGGCAGAATTGACACGGTGGTCTGGTGGCAGTCTGCGGAGCATTCAAGGCCTGCTTCTGTCCTACTGTAATATTGCCGGAAGCAGCGATAGCGGAGCCTGCAGGGGCCCAGCCAAATCGGCGATGCCATGGTACCAGCAGGGTGAGCAAGGCTACCCCAATGCAGCCAAGGCAAGTCGCAACTCTCCCCCACATCGGAACACTAAAGCTGCTTTCATTCCTTGGGAAACAGCTGCTCAGGCAACCTCCGATGCAACGACATATTGGAGTCCATCCCCGTCGACCGGATCCTTCTCGAAATGACTTTCCCCATATACACTCTCCGGAAGGGGTGTTGATAACTATCAATATAACAACGAGATCAAGGCGGAGCAGCATAATGATGGCAACACTACCATGTAGCAGCAGATGGCTTGAAGATCACATATAATCAGCACGCATTCTTCTTCACAGGGTCTAAGCCCCCAGTACCGGAGTACGAGGGCCCAAAACGCGACATCTACACGGCCCATGACAACGTCGCAGCTAAAAGGCAGCATCAATCGGCTTCAGTTTCCGGATCTGCTTGCGCAAGTGTACACGCCTGATCGGCTGGCATTCTGGGGGAATAATGACCGGCTTCTCACCGACTGTATACAGCAATGTAAACGGCAATATCCAGGTGTCAAGTAACATAGTAGGTAAGAACCTGCGAAGATCCGAATAGTCGGAAGCTGGAAATGTTAATCGTTGGCTGACTCGGCATATATAGGATTTTGGCGCCCATTATTATAACAAGGAGCCCCAAAAATAGTAATGGCAATTGGTAATTTTCTAGACCACTATAGTAATCACGAGGCTTTGGCCGCTTGCGGAGTCCAGGTCCAAGCGCAAACCCAAGGACTACTTTTCCCGCGAAGCATCACGACTGCCATGCCTCCGGGCAAATGCTCTGTACAGCATGTGTCCCATCTGTCGCGTCCCCGGACTGAACTTGGGGCTTTTGTCTTCTGAGGATCTGCAAGGCGTTTGTTTCTCCACACTCCCCGTTAATCTCTCAACTCCCAAACACTACATAGGCCTGCTTTTTTGCAGGGTCTCACCAAGCCAACATCAATTTTTTATGGACATAGGTACATCAAGGTCCAAAACACAGGGTCTCACTACAGCGCCAACATCAAACCTTTAAGGACATGGGTACAGTACTGTAAGGTTAACCCTAAGCTTCGAAGTCCGGGTGATGGATCCTGTAAGGAGTCACGCGGTATGACTTGTGCACGGCCACACGCGCTCCAGGAGAACGCTCCTTTCAAACCTCTGTTCCCAAAGACTTCCACACCCCGTAGCTACATTGCCGTATAATTTCCAGTCCCTACGAGAGTTCGAGGAAGCTATTCCGTACGTAAGGGGTTGGAAGTCTCATGGGTTTAGTTTCGCAGTGACAACTTAACACGAATGGGAATGGATGCAGTCGCAAACAATTGAAAGAACGAATTGAAGGAATTGCTGTAAGTCAAAAGAAATACTGGGATCCTCCGACTCGAAGATTCCACGTTTCAGCTTCTCAGAGTGGCAGCTGCCTCTTCTGCTGGCTCTTCAGTGCCAAGTCTTGAGTGGCGCAAGTTCTGTCTGGGCATTATTGAGGCTATGGCTCGAAAGGCAACGGTGCTTCTGTTCAGAAGCTGGCTTGTTACTCGTCCAAAGCATCCATAGCACATCGCTGCTCACACCTTTCGCGGCGGGAAAAAACGGAGTGGAGAAAATGGTTCCAGGTAGGGCTCAACATGCAAGGGCTGAAAGCGGTGGAAGGGCGATGCGAGAATAGTTCCTCTGCAGATGGGCCAAGAATGCGTATGTCTGTATCGGTGGTTGCCCACCTCTGTTGCTACTGCACGGGCCAAACGTCTCCTGATTTTATCTTATTTCCAGTGTCTTGCCAGGTGAAATGTTCACCTACCTGCACAGGCGACATTGTCGGAAATCATTTCAGCCCTTGTCTTTGTTCAGAACCAGAGATCGAATTTGGCCACTTCGCGGCACTCAACTAAACAGGGCGTATCCGTTGATCCAACCGCGAGACTCTGTCACTACTTAAAAGCTCAGCGCACACGCACGCGCTGGTTTTTCTCATTATCTGCAGGCGGCGATGGCTCAAGGGGAACACCCTCCAGGCAAACAAAATTGAATCCCTTCGGGGCGCTGCCTGGCCTTGGCCCAAGAGAACAAAGGCTGCTAGCTGCCTCGTCTGTCAGGCTGGAGAACCGGTAAATTCAACGGCCCACGTCACGAACCACTCTTGAGCCTCATATTTTCTGCAAACACGGCATCTTAGCGACGAGCAGTCATCTTAAAAGATGCTCCACACGACGGTAGGATACTTGATAGAAAAAAACGACACGTGGGTCCGGCAGTCACCAGGCTGAAAGCGTGGAAGATTTGCAGCCAATGGTGTGAGCTTGCACTGTTGTTGCAAGCAGGCAGCGGGCGTCTGCGTTGTCAGGGCAGCGTGAAACTCTTGGCACTGCGGTCAGTCCTGTCTCTTCTGTAGCATAACTTGGAAATAACCAGAGACCCACTTGGTCGCTATTCAAGAAGAAACAGTTCTAACTTGATCTACACATGTCCAGATTGGCTGTGCTATTCTACCACAAATATTCTTGCAAGCACTGCAGGGCTCGTGCAAGAATTGCTCCCATGTCGCGTGTGCGGGCCTGCCTCTCGAATTTGGCTGAATGTCAGCCCTTGGAAATATGAAAAGACTGCGGACTGCTTTCGGGGCTGCACTTTCTTGGGGTCACTCCTTCAAAACGCGAAGACAGCTGTATGAACCCGTCTGTTGTATCGGAATACTCTCAAACCCTACCTAAGGCCTAAGCCGAACAAGCGGAGCCCGAATCTAGAAGAGCCCCATAGGCAAGCAGATTCGGCCTCGTGTCTGCGGCTCCATGACGCGGCTTTTTCATGTTGTGCGACGAGTACTACTGCATGTGGCTGTCACCCATAGGCTCCATAGTAGTTCCTCTTTGGGCTCATATTCAAAAGAAGCCTATAAGGTAATCCCACAAAGGAACTACTATGGAGCCTCTGGGCATAGACTAAAACGAGCTTTATGCGGGTTTGCGACCCTGGGCCTCAGGATGACAAAGAGTTTTCCTTCCGGGGTTGGGTTCTGGGGTGGGAGGGCGTGGGGGGCTTAAAGGGAACTCCAGAAAGTTGGAATATGGTTTCAGGGTAGGATACCTTATAACTTGCCATAAAGGGCTTAGGAGAATCATATTCCAACTTTCTAGCTTTTACTTTAGAGGTTCCAGGTCCGGCTAGCTTGAAATAAAGGTAGCAGAATCTTGAGAGACATGGCTACATAGGTCCTGCTACCTTTACTTCAAATCTTTCTGTCTGGGGCATCGCCCACACTCCTCCCTCTCCTCCCCTTTTTTTGCAGCAGTCCTTCCCAATCTCACCCCACAGAGACACCTCAAAAAAAAAATTAGAACCCCAGGCCCTAAACCATGGTAAGCAAGGCATGTTCGCTCTACGAATCTCTGAAGAGATCCTTCGGAGCCTGTCTAAGGAGTCTAAGGGCTAGCCAAAGTCAGTATCCTGTGCGCTTGGGTACTTGTGGGTTTATAGGGTTTAGGGACAAGATATGCTAACAGGCACCCTAGCCCCCAAGGCACGGTGATCAAGCCCAACTTTTGACGAACCAAAGGTGAACGCGAAGTTGCGGTTTCGACATTATACCATAAAGTTACCAATCTGCTACTGAGCGATGCCGTTAAAGCCCAAGTGCCTGCCCCAAAAGCCCTGCAGCAACAAAGCCCGAACCTATGAAACATTGACATACATGGATAAGCATATTGTGTACGTATAATGAAACCTGAAGCACTGATGAAAGTCTTTAAACCCTAAAGTAAAAGCCAGAAAATTGGAATATGATTATCCTAAACCTTTTATGGTATATTATAAGGTATCCTACCCTGAAACCATATTCCCACTTTCTGGAGTTCCCTTTAAAGCCTTCGTAAAGCACGCGTCGAGGACTTGGAGGCCTCACATCTGCGCCTCGGTGATCGTCTGCGTCGCTTTGGAGTCCATGCTTTCGCCCCTCGTCACACCGTCGAAGTCCGAGTTCTCTTCTTCGCTCTCCTGCTGTCTGTTTTTACAGATAGTTATATATATATATATCTGTATATATATATATATATATATATCTGTATATATATATATATGGTACCCCCCCCCCCCCCTCCAAAACCCACCCCGACACATATATGGTACGCCGCCCCCGCCCCCCCCCCCCCCCCTCCAAAAAAAAAAAAAAACTAACTCTCTCCTTTAGTTGCTCTTGGTTCTTAGCCCCGTACCAAACATGTAAGTAGTTTTGAGGGGTGGCGTGCCACATAAATCTATAGGTATGTCCGTATGTGTGTATGTGTGTCTGTCTGCATATGGCATATCCTTCTCGCTATAGATGCATATGGACGGGTCTTTGCCAGAGACAAAACTGCCTGGAGATTGGTTTACACACGTGGGACCGTGTTAATTAACACGGGCCGTGTTAATCAACACGGCCACCAGGAACCAAGATTCCCGGACAACTTTTTGGACAGCATCTTGGTTCCCACACGTGGGCCCCGGACCGTGTTAATTAACACGGGCCGTGCTAATTAACACGGCCCCAGGAACCAAGAACCAAGATTCCCGGGAAACTTTCTGGACGGCATCTTGGTTCCTGTGTGTAGGCCCGCGTTAAAGACGAAGTCCAGGAACCAAGATGCTGCCCAAAAAGCTTTCTGAGAATCTTGGTTCTTGGTTCCTGGCGACCGTGTTAAGTAACACGCATCGTGTTAATTAACACGGTCCCGGGCCCACGTGAGGGAACCAAGATGCTGTCCAAAAAGTTTTCCGGGAATCTTGGTTCTTGGTTCTTGGTTCCAGGTGACCGTGTTAATTAACACGCATCGTATTAATTAACACGGTCCCGGGCCCACGTGAGGGAACCAAGATGCTGTCCAAAAAGTTTTCCGGGAATCTTGGTTCTTGGTTCCTGGGGCCGTGTTAATTAACACGGTCCGTGCTATCTAACACGGGCCCATGTGTTGGGCCAGGTATCCAATCCGTTTCGGACCAGTACAGCCTGCATTGCACAGCCAATGGGGGTAGCACCTACCTTGGGCCAGGCACCTCATCATGTCAGGACCAGTGCGGGAAGACCAATATAGCCTACCTCAGGTACCCAATCCTTTCATGACCACTATATGAACATGCCTTGCGCAGCCAATGGGGACGGGTAGCACGCACGCTACGCGATATGCAGGCACTACGGTATCATTTCGAATCACGTTTAATACAAAAGCCCCGCGAATTTTGACCCAGATCCAGAAAGGCGCCGTGAGGTTTGGTAGCTTCTTTGTAGCTGAGTAGGTAACCTGAAAGAAACCTTTTTGGGCTTATATAACCCTGCCATAATTAAAAATGTTAACTTTCGCGGGCTAGGATACTCAGCCCCTCAGGTTGACTTGTTTTGAGTTCCGGGTTTAGTTTTTAGGGTTTGACTTAAAGTTTAGATACTTTAAAGCTACCTTTATATACCATATAGATCTACAAGGGGTTCTTTTGAAGGAAAATCTGTACTTCGGCTCTAAGGGCTCAGAAGTTTCGGGTTTCGAGATTTACAGAGTTAAAGTTGCTTAGAAACTTGTGGGTCCCTAGTTCAGGTTTCAAAGGTTGAAGGATTTTGTCGAAAGTGTTTTTTCTACAAGGTTTAGCATTTGGTGAGGGTCGCGCTCCAGTTGTATGGTTCACGAGACGGCGAACACTAAACCCTACAAAAACCCTAAACCCCTGAACCCGTAAACCCTGAACCCCTACACAATAAAACACATTAGCCACAAGGCCCGACAATACCCCAGCTAGATGATACAACGGCCTTACTGTTTGGGGTATATTACACTGTACTTATGAAATGGGAACCCCATAAACAGTGTCGGTATTTATTTCTGCCTTTGAAATAGCCACATGCCGAACTCCCGACATCCTAATCCTTCTGCCCCAAATCGAAGCCCTTTCCAGGTAGCCAAGAAACAAATCCGGATTTCGAGTTGCCAGCAGGATTCTGATTGTAAGGGCTCCAAGCGGGTGTGTGGGTTTGGGTTCGGGTGTAGGTTTTGGGGCTTATACAGTTGGCGAGCTTATGTAGGATTTCTTGTGCTTACAGCTTGTACGACATTCCCAAGCTCACACCCACACACACACACATACACACATTTTCCCGTCATTGCAAGATATAGCCCGAAAATAAAGGTAAACATGGGTAGTTGAAACCATGGGTAGGCGCTAGCCCACAGCTGCCTTCTTCTTGCAGCTGTTGGCCTGTTGGTTTGTTCAGCATAGAAGGTGTAAAACACACGTACATAGTTGCCAATATTATTCCTAGGGTTCCTTATTAATACGTGTGTCATAGAAGGCCCAAAACTCTATACTTTCCAGCCTCTACACCCCGGTAAAGCCCCACAAAGCAGAGCTGCCAACAGCTTTGCAGCTCGAACGCCGAAAGAAGTCAGGTGGCACATTCCGAAATTATAGGGGGCTTCCAAGCCTTTGAGCGTGTTGAATGGTAGGATCTTTATTCAGAATTCCTTTCAGGGAGACACGGATACCACCCACACGTCCTTCATTCTGAAATTTCGACATTGTCAGACGCGGATACGGGCGTGTGGGTGGTATCTGTGTCTCCCTGAAAGGAATTCTGAATAAAAACACCAGCATGCAACGCACCCAACAGCTATAGGGGCCTCAATGATTACCTATTCTATTGTTTGCTGTCCTTATTAAAATTAGAGTGTACTGGGCCCCAAAGCCCTATTCTGATTAGTAAGGCGCTTAGGTGGGTTTTGGAGGGGGGGGTAGCATATATATATATATATATATATATATATTATTATTATTATTATTATTATTATTATTATATTATATATGAAGCAAGTCCAACCTGCACTGGCATCTCCGGGATTCGCATCGTCTTCGGCGACTTCCTGAGCGGCGCTGAGGGTCCCCCGGGTATGGCCGGGTGTAGCCAAGTAGTTCCTTTCTGGGGTTCATATATAGAAGCCTATTAGGTAATCCCAAAAGGGAACTACTTTGGGGCCTTTGGGTACATCGGCTTGCCCAAGTCAAGGCTCCACTAGATTGCGAACAGTTCAGATGCCGCGATATTTAATGCCCGAAACGCCCGATCTCGCATCTGCTCGAAACTGCCCCGCGAGCTCAGCACTCTGGCGGGTCCAAGAATGACAAGCCCTGTTTTGCGGATGGTGCAGCTCACTGTACCCGCTCCTTCCCAGACCCTCGCACTGTGTTTAATCGCCAAGTTTCGTTGCTCTTCGTGTGAGAGACCGGACGAAACGCACCTCACCGGCATGTCAGAAAAGCAGCAGCAACAACAACTCCTATGATACTGGTAGTAGTAGTGAACTTAGTAGTGGTAGTCGTAGTGGGATTAGCAAGTAGTACCAAGAGTAGTGGCAGCAGTAGTAGTAGTAGGAGGAACTGTAAGTAGTTGTCGTCGGCGGATTTGTAGCAAGTAGTCGTGGCTGATGTTGTGTTTTGCTGGCCGTTGTAGTTGGTGTGGCTCAGGCGGTGGCTGTTGTTGTCTCGTTGTGGTTGCTGCTGCTGTCGTTGTCTTGTTCTCGATGTGGCTACTGCTGCTGCCTCTGCTGGTTGGGCTTGGGTTGTGTTTGTTGTTAGTGGTTGCACTGGTTCCTGCTGTTGTTTCTGTTGTTGTCGCTGCCGGCGAAGCTCTAGGAGATGTTAAAATTGCAACAACAATCATCAATAGTTACTGCCGAGCCTTGTATGCGATGTTATAGAGCGTCCTCTTGTTGGAGCGGATGAGCTTCTGCTCCTGCAAGATGCCGGGCCCCCAACACATTATCCACGAGTTGGCCGTCTTGAGCAAGTCGCAATGCCATGCGTGGTTCTGGAACCGGCAGGAAAACTTCTATGGCCAACTTTGGTACATGTTTTGGCAACCGGCGTAGGCCAGTAACCACGGATCGGAGAGTCTAGATACCCAGACGCCGTCACAGGTTCACGTGTCGAAGGCCTGGGAAATTCTCTGGCTTCTTGGTTTGACTGGAAGGCGGAGGATTGAGGCATTCAGCTCTTCAACCAAACAGCCTTCCACAAGGAAATTACGTGTTCTCGTCACGACAACCGAAGAAGTAGAGACCATGCAAGGACGTGTATTGCCAACGCGTCATGGCAGTCATGGTCATCACCATCACCAGCAGGACCATCATCAACACTACTATGTAATCTCTTCTCCTTTTTTGAAACTAAACACGCGCCCAACAGAACAAAAACTCCATGATCGGAAACCTCTGTCTCACTCCTTTTGGCCGTTCCCATGAGCACTAGCATCACCAGTTGCGGCAGCCGCAGAAGAACTGCCATCACCGCCATCGTCACTATGAACAAGGAGACACCACCACCACCACCACCACCACCACCACCACCACCACCACCACCACCACCACCACCACCACCACCACCACCACCACCATCACCATCACCATCACCTCCAACAACAACAACAACGACATGAACAGCAGCAGCAACAGCAACAGCAAAAACAACAACAACCAACACCAACAACACAATGAACAACAACAAACCATCACAATCAATAGCAAACAACAACGAAACGAACAAACAGGCAAACCTACACCAAACACCAGTACCAGCACCAACACCAATGATAATCCTAAAACCACCACCAACAACAACAGCAACAGCAACAGCCAAAACAAAAACAAAAAGTAAAAAACAACCACGACCACAACCACAACAACAACACCAGCAGTAACAACAGCAGCCACAGAAACAGCTACGACGGCTACAACAGCAGCAACGGCAACAGCAGCAGCAGCGACACCTACAGCTACAGCGGCAACAGCAAAAGCAGTTGCAACAGCAACAGTACAAAAAATGCTGTCGTTGTTTCAGAGAGCCTTTGCTCATTATCGACATGTTGCTTCTGGCACCTGGGAGCAAGGCTTATTTTGTCCGAAATTGCATCGCGAAGTCCAACAACATGACTACACAGCTGACGGTTTTGAAGCCCACGGCCTCCTGACGGCCACAGCATCGACAGTGAACCGCCAGCAGCACCTTTTGGCTTAAGGGATTGTTTGGACGGTCTTGGGCTTCAGAACACACAAAAAACACTGCACGTCATACGCAGATCATGCTAAGCGATCCCATGAACCAACAAGACCAAAACCCTACTCTGCCAAATTGCAAGTTTAGGTTTAGGTTGGGGAAGCAGCTTTGTTTCTGACCAGCTCCATGCTAGAACCTGCGCAGCCTCAGGTCTTTCAATTTGGCTGATGTAGTTCGGGAGCCTGAACAATTGGACCCAAGCTTTGAAGTCCGTTATCATATTACCAAGATAACTCTATACGGAACAATGTTGATACAGTAGTCATTGAGGCTTCTATATTACAGCACGGTAGGGCACGATGATCCACCTTTGTCTGCAAGTTCCCTCTCCTTCTCCCTCGTCGCTCTTTTCCCTCCCAGCTCGCATGACTCCGATCCCTGGAACTTGCTGACACGTTGAGGCAAGGCCACAAGCTTCCAAGATTACCTAGCCGGGTGGTTGTGAAAATCAGGGTCCCTTTTTGGGTCCCTATTTTCGTACGGCACCTATTATTTAGGGGACCCCAAAACAGACTATAATTTTGACAACCACCCAAGTATGTCCTACACGCAGCGCTCCCTTCACTTCAGGATTCTCTAAACCAAGTCTTCAGAAACAGCCATCAACCTCAAAATCCATTAGCCGAATGGGGATCGCACTCTTGAGCTGCTTGTTCTTAAGTTGAGAGCCCTATTTTGCGCGATCTATGATAAGCTCCCTTGTTTCTTGCTGAGATGCTGCAAGCTGCGCCACGGCAATGGCCACCAGCCCCGCCACGGCCCAGAGTTCCCCGTCTGCTGCCGGTCCTTGAAGAAGCTGTACCTCGTTCTAATAAGACAGGCCGCAAAGTAGTTCCTTTTTGGGGTTCATATCTAGAATCCTAATAGGGTAATCCCAAAAAGGCACAACTACAGGGTGTATGGGTCATATGACTTACGGTCGCAAGTTACATGACTCTGCAACGCTCAGCCCGTTCTCTCAATTGCAGCTCCTGTTTGGGGCGCCTCGTTTCTGAATTAAACAATCCTAACAGTAAATGACAACGGAGTGGGGACTACATCGGAAGTTGGGACTGTTTCAACCATGAGGGGCTTCTGCAAACTGCTACAGTGTAGCAGCGGTTTCTGTCAGATTGCGGTCTGACATCGGACGCATAGCAGCAGCCATGTGGGATCTTATGGGCCTTGCTGCCATGCAACGGAACACAAACCTCCAAGGATCATAGCTGTTTTGGGTGGTAGACTACGTACGGACAACCTGCGGAGAACAGGCCAACATCCTCGGCCATTTCTGCTTGCCGGTCCAAGACTGTAGTGGGGGAATGGTCAGCGCTTAAGTTATTGGGACCTGGTGGGAAGTCCGTGAGAGATTTCCGCGGTCAAGTCTGGGCAAGCAAGCTGTGTGGGCCGGGAGTCCGGACGGCGCAGCTTGCTTCAGAATATGGCGTAGCTTTGGGTTCAAATTTGTTCTTTGATGCCGATGATGGTTTTCAGTTATTTTCAGGGAGCGACGGTTGCGTGAGTCGGAGATCTGCACACATCTTCCAAAGCCGAGACAAGGCACCAAGGCGTAAACGGCGACGAAAGGACCAATGTGCAGGAGGCTGAAGACAAATATCACGAGCCACCTGCAGGTCACCGCACAGCAAAATGGTGCTCACAGCTTGCAAGCCCCCCAGGAAATATGCAGGGCACAAAATGTGCCGGCTACAGATTCTTACTATTATCAGCAGCGCCGTGATTCTCGCTGTTAATTGTAGTGTTGCTGTTCCTACTTGTTTTTGCAATGCTTGGTCATGACTATTAATGAAGCGACTGCGGCTCTGACTGATTTCTTTTCAGCGTCTGCCCTTCTGCCTGGGACCCGGATTCCAAGAGTGCTGCTAACTGACATCAAGAAGACCAGCAACAACAAATGTGTGGCGTCACTGGCTTCGAGCCCCCCAGACCCGGACCCTAAAGTGAATCCTACTGGCCTGAAACCACGATCCCACAAAGTAGTTCAGGATTGGGCCTCCAATTTCAGATAATTACTTCGTAAGATATCAAGACCTAAGAGAGAAAAACCCTAGACCTTTATGTCCTGAATCGTTTCCCAATTGAGCCAAGGGGACTCCAGTGGGCCACGCAGGGAGAGGTAGCACTGCGTGAGCCATACCTTTTTAAGCTTATCCTAAGGCCCATAGTAGTTCCTTTTGGGATTGCCTTATAGAATTCTATATACGAGCCCCAAAAAGGAACTACGATGGGGCGGATGGGTAGATTAGATGCAGGTTTGGACTGAGGGCATCTGTTCAACGTCAGATTTAGAGAACAATTCTGCAGCTCGAATGGCAGCGCCAGACAAAGCACCGAAACTGCCAACATCGACCCCATGGCGATTGCACTTTCGTTGGGAGTCCTCGTCTTGATCGAAGACTTAGGTCTTGTGTTGGCTATGTTTTATGAGGCTTGACAACGTTGCCAAATACTTGCTTCTTCGGAAACTGAGCATTTCGGCAGGTGGATGCTGATGTTGATCTCACTTTGAGCGCTTGAAGGTTTGCCCAACGATTCTAGAAGGGCAGGCCAATAACTATACCCCCCCTTAGAACCATAATGAAAATACTGTCTTTAATATTCTCATGGGTTTTATATGAACAAAAATACAGAAATAATTCCTAAGGAGACTATAGATAATAGAACTTCTCGCCTATGGACCCTGGGATCTGCTGCAACCCAAGCCCCCATGCTTGAAGCTCTGCAAGACGCATACCCTAACAGTTTATGCGGCCATGACAGAGCCCCCTCAAGGAATTTTACAGACGGTGCAAATTCCAACGCGGAAGAAGCTGGGCGAGCAGATTAATTCAGTTTCGGCGCCAGGAAGGTCGCGCAAACCAGCGAGGAGGTTGCGAAGATGAGAAGCCCTGCCAACGGATACCACTGAAGTCTTGCATGTTGAGATGTCGTCCTGCCCTCCCTTTGAACATTGAACAGATTGAACAGGTGCCCGGGCCAGCTGTGGTCTTTCCAACCATACGACCCGAAGCAGCCCAATGTGAAATACTACAGGGGCCTGTGTTTTAGGGGCCGAGTATACTATAGGTATAGGCAGGAACCCCCACCACAAATGTGGGTAATTACTTAAAGGCCCCACAGATTTCTCTCGCTGGGCCCGGGAACTGCTGCAGTGGCTCTGCTTTGACATGTGTGACAAGGTCTGATCTCAACTCTGTCTTTTCTCAACTCTGTCTCTCTCTCTCTCTCTCTTTCTCTCTGTGTCTCCCTGTCTTTCTCTCTATGTCTATCTATATACATGTGTACATATATACATATACATATACATTTATCTGTTCTTAGACAAAGAAATACGCATATGCACATATAACCCTGTATATACACATAAAATGACGGTATATGCGTATGCATTGAGCAACCTGTATTGGCAAACGGGGCATGCGGACGTGCATATGATCCTTAGTATGCGCTTGAAACAGAAGGACTTACGATTTAGGCCAATTTAAGCTGTTTGAAGACGAGGTCTCTGTTTACTCTGCTTGTTGGGCGTTTGCCGTACTTCTTTTGCTGCTCCAAATCCTCGCGCTTCGACAACTGCAGGGCGGGCCAACCGTAAACAAATATATTTACAACCTCGTCACAGCCAGCAAACAACAACTGCACACAAACCGGGCCTAAGGTTTGGCGCCGTACCCATATCCTGTTTATGTCTTTGACACATCAGATCATCCCCATCTATGAAGTTGCTTTCATGCCACGTCAGCCCATGCACACATATGCATATTCATGAGTTGCGTAGTAAATGCAATGTGCAGGGTTGCAATGGTTTTGCAGACAGCTCACAAGGTTTTGCATTAGGTTTCAGAAGGCTACAAAGTTTGCATTCGGCCGACTGATAGGCACCGAAGTAATCGCACTGCGCAAAACTGTAAGCTCTCTGCTATTCTTTTTTATTGTCATTAGTTATGATTAACTGTAGCCGGCGAAACCAGCATACTGGTCTCACTGCACTGTTTCGCTGAACTGCAGCCGCAATGGAGCCTGTTCTGTATATGAATTTCAGAAACACCGTCTCGAACCTATATTAACGTGAAAGGATCTTTCCAAGAGAGATCCACTAACTTTGCAAACGCTTCCCAGATCTTGCCCCCTTTTCAAGCATCCTGTCCAAAGCACTCGCAAAGGAGCTTGAAGGGAACTCTGAAGAAGAAAACGCCCCACGGCTTAGGGTTTGAAGCTGCAAGCAAGTTGAGGTGATAAGGGCTCGGGTGACAAATGTGCTTCTAGCTTAATTGTATCGCATTCCGGGAGTTTGGTTGAGGCTGAATAATTCGGGATTTTGCCGCTCCCAGCCTGTGGCATACATCGCCATGGGCAGCGGCTCGGGGTAAAGAAGCGGTGCCACCGCCAAGTAGTCCACGATGTTCGTCATCATGGGCATAAGGATCCTTAGGGTTTATAGGCTTTAGTTTTTTTTGTTGAGCCCTCTTTTCCGTCTGCCCCGAAGGTTAGGAGGCTTTTCTTCCCTCCTACCTAGCAAGGACGAAGCCCGCATTGCAGGGTATCTTGGTTGAGCAGGAGGCTTTAGGGTTGGGGTTTAGGGTTTAAAGGGAACTCCAGAAAGTTGGAATATCATTTCAGGGTAGGATACCTTATAATCTACCATAAAGGGTTTAGGATAAGCAAATTCCAACTTTCTGGCTTTTACTTCTTCGAGATGCAAGAGCCGAGAACTTCTGAAATCTCTACGGCGACTCTTGCGCTGCAGAAATTGGGTTCTTGGACCCTTAGCTAGGTTCAACAGTCCCCAAAACTGTTCATAATTAAAGCTTACCTTAACCCTGAATAACCTACCTTTTTAGGGTTCACTATTATGATTTCCTTATATAGGTCCTTAAAAGGTAGGTGATTCCGGGTTAAGGTAGGCAATAAGGGAGTTTAAGAATCATTTCGCGTCGATGCCTGGACATATTATTCTTGGAAGGCGGAAAGACATGTCGCCAGCTGCTGGTCTGCCAGGGCACACGAAGAGGTACCGCAGAGGAATTCCCCAGCCTGCTGAACAAAGAACTTTTAGGGTTTAGGGTTTAGGGGGTTTAGGGTTTAGGGTTCAAAGAACACAAGAAAGCCTATATTCGAGGGTTGCAGGGGCTTTGGAGATGCTAGATGGCCTTCAACTCTGGGAACCTTACATCACGAAAACACATACATGTATAGACCCTGGAGATGACAACGAGCCTCCGAGAGACTTCGTCACAGCGATGGGCACCTCCGTCCTCACGAGCTCGTTGAATGCGACCAGCGCGTCCTTTTTGAGGGCTGTCTGGGCCCCCCTATGGGCTTCCAGGATTCTCCTGAAGCCTTGCGTTTTTTGGGCCTGCCTCGGTGTTGGATTCAGGGGTTTTGGTTCAAAAGCTCCGAGGGTTTCGGATTCGGGCAATGTGGGGATTACTTCCGCACCTGTCAAGTGCAGCGTCGAGTGGGGGTTCGTGTCGGCTCGGGCAAAGAACTATTCGTTTCTGCGTTGGGATTACACGATACTCTAAGTTTATGGAACTCATGCAGGAAGCACAAAGGCTTGCTTGGTGTGATGCAGCCTTCGTAGGGTTCCCTCACCAAAACCGTGGAATCTGAATCACTTCGGGCCAAAACGCTGAACATCGGAACACCCAGCCCCACTGGTCGAACCGAAAGGGATAGTGCTATGCAGTCTTTTTTGAGTCGCGGTCTGGGGAACACCAGTTCATGCAGGAGCCTTGCGATATCTCACCGTATGATTGCCACAGTGCTTCTAGGAACTTATATACAGTAGTAGTGCATTAAGCCGAGCCCTGAACGAACATTCGCACCAAGTACTCGGATGTTTCGATAACGATTACAAATCCTGGGACAAAGAGGCCCAAGGAAAGAACGCCCGCCATTTGCCGTCACCTCGAAACCCTGAGACCTTGAAAGGTCCTCTACGTCAGAAACATTGTAAACGACAGTAGGATGCGAGCCTCTTTGAGGGACCCGCACTAAGCAGTGTAAGGCCCGCGGCAGGGAGCCCTGATAATATCAATGCAGCATCTACTTAAACCTCTCCGTCCTCTTCCCTTTTTCGGCCCCTGTACTGCTCTAAGTCTCCTCGTCGGGTGCCTCGGCCGAAACTGCCTTCGTCTCCCGCATGTACCTCACCATGCCCCTAAGCCCTAAAACCCAGAGCCCCTAAACCCAGGGTTTCTGAGCTGGAAGCTGGGAGCCTCATCGGCATCGGAGGCCCCCAAAACCCGGAGAGCCCTGAGCCCGAAACTCCGAAGGGACTTGAAGAGTCCACCGTAGCACGAGAGGCGTTCAACTCTTGACATAAAAGGCTGCGTATAGGCGTATAGGCTTCTGGCTTAGGGCCTGGGCTCGAACTGCAGGCGAGGCGAGCGCTATGCAGTTTATAGTGGAAGCAAAACCTCTCAACCTTGAGATACTTCCGGAAAAGCCCCAAACTCAGCGCAGCATTGGGGAGGGCATAACAAGGGAAGGGAAGCACCCTGGCGAGGACATCCACACACCCTCCCGTGCAGCTGCCTGGCTATGTTGCTGTACACCATGCTGCGATCCGCCTCCTTTAGGCAGTGCGAATCACCTCGGCTGCGCGAAGTGTTGCCTCCAAGCCTTCAGCGGAGTACGTCGTCACTGCAAGCTGACACAAGCTGCTCACTAGCTCAGAGCAGGAATGTCAGGACTACGCGGGCCGCATCGCCGTGAAGGCACCGTAATGGAACGTGCGCACGTTCTCACGCATCTGCTTCTCCTCCTTGGCCCACCTGCTACAGAGTCGTTAAGCACAGCACCATGCAACTGGCAGACCTCCCGCGTAGCAGATTGCACTTGCCACCGTCCACATCCGTGTGAAGCTAGCGAGAGCAAGGCACTCCCCGCAAGAACAAGAAGATTGCATTGAGCTACTTGGCTGCTACTTAGAATCTTGGCATTGCAAAAGGCGCGTGACAGTTGGCACAATATCTGCTCAAGCGACTTCGGATATCTTTTCGGACCACATGTCCCTATGACCGCGATCCAAAGGGTTCTTTATGCCTTGCCTTCTTGTGCTTGGCTTCTCTCTGTTTCTCTCTCTCTCTCTCTCTCTCGCTCTCCCCCCCCGCCGCAAAGTGTAGGGACAACCCCGTGCTCACACATCAGTCAGTGACCGAAAGTCTGCCTGTACGCTCTCAGCCCCCCCCCCGGCCGATGCCTACGAAAGGCCCAGGTGACCACCAGCAATAGTGGTAAATCCTCATTAAGACAGGCCCAAGATGCAGCATGGCTCTACGAACTAAGCCGTTTACTCCAGGAAGACTACGCAAAGTCTCTGAACCACTGGAAACAACATGCACGTTGTATGCCCTTCGTGAAGCATTTGTCAAAGCTCACTGCGCGAGAATCCAAGGCCCCAAGAGTACACCAAAGCCATGTGGGAATATCCAAAAAATATGGGACCCTAATATAGTACCCTAAATAGTCGGATTCTTATTGCAAGGACCCCAAAACAAGGCACCCCTAATTTTCGGAAACTCTAAATAAACCCCTTATAGAGCCCTTTAACGGAACCCTGATAGTACCCTTACAGTAACCCTTTAAAGGAACCCTCTCCCATGTCTTGCCATGCAGCCAGTAGCAGGATGGCTAGCCTGGAGTCCAGCAAAAGATCTTCTACAGGATCCTGGACCTCAGCAGTAGTAGTGTAGTAGTGTAGTAGTAGTAGTAGTAGTAGTAGTAGTAGTAGTAGTAGTAGTAGTAGTAGTAGTAGTAGTAGTAGTACTACTACTACTACACTACTGTACCGTTCTTGGATGCTCTAGCTCGCGACAGGCAATTCGCGCTGAGAAGTGCAAACTTTGCGGATAAATCTCGCTGGCTGTGCCGAGTTACCTGCAGTATGAAGTTAGACTTCCACCAGCACCGCATGCTAAGCGCCCGGCATCATCCACCAGCAGCATCTGCACCCAAATACAGTGCAATGCAACCATGGGCACGGCCAGGATCGTGCAGCGGATCAGGAAGGTCGGGAGGACCGCCAGCCGATTGGGACCCCGCTTGGGAAGAAACGTCGCCAGCTCATACATCGTCCAAAGCCTGGTGCTCAGGGGTTCAGGGTAATATAGGGGGCCCTTAAGAATTAGAATAGGGTTTTGGGGCCCACTATACTATAGTTAAGAAGGAACCCCCAAAATAGTATTTAGGCCCCTATATTACGAGGTCGGCGCAGGGTTGGGACCTCCTTCTTGCAGATCGCATGGCAAGTGATGCCCGCCGACTGTAACGATCTCGAACACTCTAAGCCGAGAGGCTTCTTGGTGTAAAGCTCTGAATAAACCACCAGCATCTGATCCGACAACTGCAGGAAAATATCCAAGTTCTCGATGCCCTGCTGCTTCAGTTCCTGGCTGGGTTTCATGTCGCGAGTCTTGAGGGTTCAGGGCTCAGGCCTCTGACCGGAGGAGGGGTTCGCCCAAGAAGCGTCGCAGTCCCAGTTCTTGTTGCCCTTAAGGCTTCAGAAACCGGGCAGACCAAACCCAGCACTAGCACGGGTCGCACTCAAACCTGAAACGCAACCACAATACCAAGAGTAATCGAAAGCCCCAAACGTGTCTTCACACACACGCACAGAGGCAGTTATTCACATGCATGTGTATATATATATATATATATATTTATTTATTTATTTATTTATTTGGCTCCCGCATGGTGCATAGCAGGTAACACGTGAGCTGAGGGCGGATGTCTCTGCATAAATACAGTACAGCAGATGATCCACAAGACTCCGCCCCACCCCTATACAAGCACAAACACAACACCATACACCGTCGATGCTCCAAAGTCAGTTATATACATATACATATGCATATCTATATATATATATATATATATATATATATATATATATATACGTGTGTATATATATATGTATATATACATATTGTATACTATATATATATATATATATATATAGATAATAGATAGATACATAGATAGATAAATAGATAGATAGATAGATAGAACTCCTAACTAATCCCTGACAGCGCCAGGCTGCAGCGTGCAAAAACCTTTCAGCCTGCGGTGTCGGCATGCACCGACCCTTAAGCATGTACACCAGTACACAAAGGCTCCATAGTGGTTCCTCTCTGGGATTACCTTATCGGATTCTAAATATGAACCCCAAAAAGGAACTACTATGGGTGGGTTGCAGGGCTAAGGCTGTGTGGGAAGGTTGGAAGTGTAAGGTGAGCGCTGGAGGGCAGGAGGGTGTCAAGTACGTTTGCGGATGTAAATGCTGCTTGAAGCTCCACCTATAAGACCCACAGACTTGATATATACACTTTACCTATCTATCCATCTGTGCATGCGTGCGTCTGTCTGTCTGTCTGTCTGCCTAACTGCCTGTCTGTCTGTCTGTATGTATCTGGGTGGGGGGTTGTTTGTGTCTGTGTGCATGCGTGCGTGCGTGTGAAGCCACAGCTGGCAACCCTGACTGGTCCTCATCTGTTTGATGGATGCAGCAGCGGTCCAGGAAAACCCGCTTCCCACGTCTCCAGAAGAGTGCTTTCACGTCGTGCCAGCAAAGCAAAAACAACCTCTCATGGCTTGCATGTTCAGCCCCCGGTGCATCCGAAACCGACCTGTATCAACCCGACTCAGTGAGCAACATTATAGGTCATTTATGATATGCATGGGCCTACCTGCCGGTGCCTATATACCACCACCAATAAGTCGAAAGGAAGCCCTGGCGACTACCTCAAAAGCAAAAAGTTGATGTTTCATCAGCCGGCCAATAGGTCACTACGCAAATGCCGGTGCCCAGATGGCTTCTGAAGTACAGGTCGTCCGCGTCTTCATGGGCTTCTGCGTGCAGCATCACCAGCCTAAGTGCTGAGGCGTAGGATTTCGCGCGATTTGCTCTCGCAACGACCAGGGGTCCAAACAACATAAAGCTTGGCCGGCCTTTGCCAGGGTGCTTCTTTAACTGTCATCTACCTTCGCGGCTGATTGGCTGCACCTATGGACCTTGCTAACGCTGTGAGGCTCCGTCCTGCGTTTTCTCAAGGTAGTTTGAACAGATTTGAACAGAAAGGCTTTGCGGTCGCTCGAGAATTCCACTACAACTCCCCTCCCCAGCTTCCTCTCAACAAAAATGACATTTTGCCAACGCAATACTCGACCCTGGACCTCAAAAGTAGGAGTAGGTAGAATGATAGCCTTTTGTAGGTTTTGGGTGATATGTTTTTCCTACTTTTTGGGGGTCTAGGAGTCAAGGACGGGCCACAGTATCGTGGTGATGTAGGCCACCGTCGCAGCTGCAGAAGCTGCCTAGGCTGGGAGTCTTTAGCTTCGTGTCTCAGGACCCTCCTTGTACCCTCAAATAGGGGTAAAAGGGATTTTCCGAGAATCGGGGACCCTAATATAGTACCCTAAGTAATAAGATCCTTATTGTAAGGACCCGAAATAAGGTACCCCTAATTTTCGAAAACTCGGGTCTAACAGAGGGTAGATGGAGGGTCTAGGTTTCAGGTCTCGCTAGTTCGGCGCACGGCAAAATCTCCATGCCTGTGTACCTAAAGCCCTTGGATTCTGCGGGATGCACACTGTATAAAGCTTAGGGAAGCCCGCCCTGCGATACCACACTGATTGCTTTGCCGACTCAGGCCCAAATGGTACTGTCAAGTTGCCTTGTGATTGAAATGAAAAGCCAGTGCCTCCAGCGACAATCAAACAATGGCAGAAATCAGCTTGCACGGGTTGACAAAGAGCTGACGTCAAGCAGAGAATCTCAAGTAAGCTTGTTGCTTGTAGTAACTATACTGTACTTGTGAAGATCATGTCATTATTCATGTTGCGCTACAGTCCCACGGCGGTATCATGGGACCTAGATTTTGTGATCTTCGAGGTGCGGATGGTGATCTATTGCTGGGCCCCGCGCCATAAACTTCAGCCACTGTGGCATCGCCCAGTTGTAGGAAATGAAGACATGCAGTTTGTGGGTCACATCCGACAGCGTGAAGGTATCGAAGTCCTCCGGATAATCCCGAAACACCTGAGCACCCAGGAGCAGTATGGGGGGTTTCCGAAAATTTGGGGTACCTTATTGTGGGGGTCCTTGTACTATAATATTAGGGTCCCCGTATGAGTCTGTAAGACAGGCTTGGACAAAGATACCATCTGCTAATGGCGCTGGACGAGTTTGTACTTCCACATGATAGAGATGTGCCATGATCGTCCGTGCGCACGGCACTGGAACTAAGCCACATGCTCTTCACTGTCAACACTTCAAGCCGCGTGCACAATGAAGGTGAACACCAGTATACACCAGTTATCCAAATATGTAGATGTATACTCTGAACTGTCGACATAGACCATGAAGATGCCACACCAGCCTGCGAAACCCACATGGATGGATCCAGACGTCCTAGTATTTCTTCAAACCCAACCTGAATTCCCCAAAAGCTGTCTTATTATCCACAGCACACAATCAGCAACATCAAATCCTTGAACCCCTGACGCCTTAAATCTTCATATCTCTTCTGACAGCGCAAACCTCACACTCTACATCACATGCATCCCTAAACCAAATCCGTGAAGTAAGCAGCGAAAACCCCTACGAACCCCTGAATACCCAAACCCTCAGCCCGAATCAGCAGAGACTTGGCTCCCAGCCCTGCCGAAACACCGTAACACCGTGAAGTCGGAGGTGCTTCGAAGCAGCCTTAAATGAAGCGGTTTAGGGCTTGGGGTAGTTTCAGGGTTTCCTGGCAATTGGAAACTTTGCTGATATCGGGCTTGGGTGTTTGAGCTCAGCTCAAGTTACGTAGAGCTTTAACTTACATACCCCAGTGCGGATTGATAGCACATGGTCTCTATCGCAAGCCTACTTTATACGTGCGATCAGCCCATGAAGCCTCAACGTCAGCATGTTTGGCTTGGCGAGCAGGTACCAGGGATAGGATTCTGCCATACCTATAGTCTCCCTTGTAGTTCCTTTTTTTGCTTTAACCAAACATATTATTGGGATCCTATAAGGTATAACCCCAAAAAGGAATTACAATGGAGACTATAGGTAGCTTTGGCTTTTGAGCCGCCAGGGCCCGAAGGCAAACCCCGAAACCGTGCGAGTCGCGTCTCGTTCGTCATGATCAGGCTCCGCCATCTGACCTGTTCCGGAGGTCCAGGAGGCCTTTACCGGTTCCCTTAAGGGTTCCTTTGAAAAAATGGGAGAAAGTAGCATCGTCGGCTTCGATGCTTCCAAGACAAGCTTTGCGAGCCAAAGAGGTTTCGATCGTGTATGTCCTGTCACCCTGCTTAGAGCTGAAAGCTTCGACTCCTTCAAACCGGATGCCAGGTGACATATGCGAAACTCTTCCCTGCACCCCTCTTAGAACCATAATAATAATATCATGATTTTAAACAGTCTCTTGGGATTTATATGAACAAAAATAAAAAATACGTGATTTTTAAGGAGACTAGAGTAGGGGCTCTAAGGACTGCCAGAGCAGGTTGCAGCTCGAATTGGCAACAGCAAGCAATTCCCCACACCGAGGTTCAATCACAGAAGCCAGAACCTAGCTTTCTTGACATCAAGAACAATAACTTAGTTGCTGAGTTCCTAAGCCCCAAAAAGTTTACACGTTCAGTTTTATAGTGGGTAACATTATCCCCAAAAAGCGTAAAGTGTATCCACTCAGCTACTAGCATAACACAATAACAATCACATGAACCATTACAAGAACAATGACCACCACACAAACAATAAGGAACCAACAATGACAACATCACCATCGACCACCGTGAGCACGACAAGGTGATGAACCCTTCAACCGATAGACACAAACATCAGCAAACATCCAAAAGCATCCACAAACCCTCAGCACAGCGGGCTCCTGCCTTGTGCGGCTCGGTTTCCGACTCATCCGGCGAGGCCTGACAGTGCCAACTATGCTCTGCTTCTGCAGCAGCTTCTTCGGGCGTCGGACACGAGTATTCGAGATTTGGGGGGGCGGGGGGGGGGTGTCTCAAGCCTTCAGCCAATAGCGGGTGACTACTCAACTAAATTATTGCCACTGCCACATGCAGTTGTCATGCAAGTCTCTGCGATGCCGAGTGGAAGCCGACCACATTCTGTTCCGCAAGCACGGACTACCCCCAAAGTTGCGTTTCTTCCGGCTGGCAGCAGCTAAACATACCTGCAGCCTGCAGTAACACCCCAAGTCACAAGTCATGTCATCCTTCGCTCCGTCTCCAAAATTGCGGGGGTGTTGGAGATCTCGGGCTGGGCTTGGCAAAAAAACCAGGATGCTATCTCATTTTTTGATTACATACGAATTACTACCAATCATGATACGATCAAGCATAAAACAAAGATGCACACCTACAAGCACACACCAGGAGCTAATCGCCCGGATCGAGCACAAGCGCATCCACCACCCGTCTTGACACAAGCGGTACCATAATCCAGCCGGTAGCAGCGCCTGACGGCAATGTCCGCTTCGCGACGAACCTTTCCAAGCCATATACTTCCATGCTACCTACGCAATACGGGCTTCGGGCTTTCACTGTTAAAGATCTTGTGCTCTTAGCTCATGCTTTGCAAGAAGACTCCGAAGGTATTTCTGCAACAAGGCCGCCCCCAGTCAAGCCCGAAGGGCCGCGACCCCCAATATCGGGCACATGGGATTATCCCAAAGGGTCCCAAGTACCTTTATGGTAGAATGTAGGGTTCCTAACTACTATTATGACTTGGGGAAGTATCCCCCATAACATCAGGGAACAGGGTATCGCATTCAGGGGTGAGGATTTAGGGATTGTAGTTTCCATACCTGGGACCGCGCGTACATCAAGTGCAGTTTTCAATAGGGTGGAGGAGTTGAAGATTTTGTCTCGGGCTTAGGTGAGATATCTACTTGAAGGCTCACAGATGTGGTAAACAAGGGCAAGGATAAGCGCACTGGAAAAATGAGCAGTAGCACTCGAGTACAACCTATAGCAGCCCGAGGCAAGTCGTGGCAAGTCCAGCTGTGCAAAGCCGCTTATCACACTCCGAATAACAACAACTCAAAACCCATGCTTGAGGCATCTAGCGACTTGGGAGTTTCCGAAAATAGGGGAGACCCTAACACAGTAACCTTAATCGTAGGATCCTTATTATCAGGACCTCAAGATAACGTACCCGTAATTCTCGGAAACTCCAAACCCCTTATAGAGCCCTTTAACGGAACCCTGATAGTACCCTTATAGTATCTCTTTAAAGCAACCCTCTCCCATATTTGACTAATGGCTTGGCAAGAGTTTCCAGGCCCTCGGGCTCAGAGCCTCTGGGGTGTTAGGGGCTGTTCATTGGTCCTTGAAGCATCAGGGCCTTCCTTGACGGTCCATGACTTAAGATTGCAGATCGCCTTGAGGGTTTATAGGGCATGTACATTTGGGCACCCAAAGGCACACTCAGGGTGCCTGCAATTGAAACACTCTTGGCCGACATGCTCTCTGGGCATTGGGGCGCGCCGAGCTTGTGTGTTCGAGTCCGTTCGCGTGTCGCGAGGTAATGCCAGGCTGGTTCAGCCTGCGTAGTGCAAGCACCTAAACTCGTCTGAGGCTGGTGTTACTGTCTCCGTAGTGTGCGAGCTGCATGCATCTAAAGTACCCTTGCCAATCGATGCTGTGGCTGCTTGACTGAATCTTCTGCGTATCGGGTCGGTCCATTGCATGCAAAAACAAGAAACATCTCGCAGGGCCAAAATTCTGCAAATCTCACCGTACATCGCTGAATGATTGGCAAGTCAGAAGAAAGGCAACAAGCGAATTTGCTCCAGGGATAGTTGCGCTCCTCGTCTCAAGGTCTGCCAAGGCCTATGACTTCCTGCAAGCGCACGGCTACAACTCGACGGATGCCCTGACGTCGTTTTCAGATGATGTAGTGACATGGTAGTCACAGCCCCCGGCACCCTGAGTCCCACAAGCCCTGCAGCCCTGCACTCTGCACCATGGCTTATCTTTCCTGCGGACAGATCGATCACCGTCAAGCTTTCTTCAGCTTTGCCGCCCGAGCCTCCAGCCACTCCTGGATTGGTACAAGATTCCGATGATGCTCTAACACTCTAACTCTAGTTCTCTTTTCACAGATGATGCTGCGGAAATAGGTTGCTATACCGCTGACATGCTACAAGTAGTGAAGTAGATTGGAAGCAGTAAACCAAGGGTGGTAGCGAAAGCAGTCTGCAGTGGCTGTCGTCATTTTGCTTCTCCGTGGTGCTGGTGGCCTGGCCCTAAAGCCTAACCTGGCTGCCGACCCTAAGCCCCGACCCAGTGAAATTCGGCCAATGTAGGAACCTGATCAAGAAACCCTGGCCCAAAATATCCCAAAATAGAGGGTTCATATAAGGAACCCCAATAAAGGCCCAAGGTTTCTTAATCAGGCTCCTACATTGCCCTTATAGATCCCTTATAGTAATACCCTTATGGACCCCTTTAAAGAAACCCTCATAAAGGCCCAGGGATTCGGCCCAAGCGACCCGTCCGGAGCCGATCAAAGCACTTTCAGCCGAGATCAGCTTGCCGGCTTCCTCGGCCAAAGCATCGTCGACCTCCACGGATATGCACGGCTGAACGGCTTGGGGGCTCAAGCGCTTAGGGTCGTAGGGTTGGGGGGTTTCTGGATCTACACCTACTCTATGCCCTAATTCTCTAAACCTGGACCCTTTCAAGGAACCCTTTCGGCCCCAAAGTTTTCAAGCAGAAAGCCGATGGGCGCCTCCGAGAAGCTCTCCAAGCTCTGCTTCGCGCGTTCCTGGTGCGCCCTGAGCCAGGTCGAGGCCAGGACGACAGCATCGATCCTTGGGCCCCCCGGATTTTGGGTTTTTTTTTGGGGGGGCTTTGGAGTGTTCTGGGTTTATGGGATTTAAGGTTTAGAAAATTTTCTGGGAGCCGGATTTACTGGGCTTTCGGGTGTAGGTTCTTAGCAGGTTTAGGGACTCTGTGGGCATTAGGGTGTTTCGGTGCTGGCACTCGGACAATCCAGGCGTAAGGGTGCTTCGGGTACAAGGCTTGTATAAGCCGCAGAAACTTATGTGGTCTTTAGGACCTGTAGAACTATAGCTGCATTTCAGAAGGGTTCATGGCTGATGGTCTGGGAGCAGCTGCGGGTGCCGGGCCATTTTGTTGGGCAATGCGCACACTCCGACTGATCGCTTCGAGCACCTGATTCGTCTTGAACCGATGCACGGTCATGTAGGAAGAAGATTTGATAGCTTGCGACTTGAGTATCTCCTCGTGGCAAATCGGGACCGGGGGGGGCGGTCCAGACATCAGCATGGCTCCGAGCTCTTCCTCTTGCCCTCCACATGTAAAATCGAGCTGTTGAGCTTCGAGGCCGGAAAGAGATCGAGAACCTGAACCGTAAACCTCGAAATACTACAAACTCCACCTGCAAGCAGGATGCTCCTGCTGAGTTGGCAGCTCCTCCGGAGATGCCGAAACCGTAATCATTAGGGCTTCGGGGCCTGCTTTTCTTGCAGCTTCTGTTCGGGTACAAGGGCTGCCCAATGTAGGACAGATTTATCTGCCTTGAACGGCTTAGGCGAGGGATTCACTCGGAGGCTTCGTGTAGGCCTACTAGCTTGAAGGGTTCTGGCGTTGGAGGTTCGATCTGTCCTCGTTGCTCTATCGTGCTTGGGCTTCTTATCGGTTCAGCAGGTTTGCGCTTCCCGCACTGCCAGTGTCCTAAATGCTGGGCTGCCTCGAGGTTCAGGGTTTCGGCATTGGGGATTCCACGGATGATGAAGCCATGGCCGGATTGTCATTGTTTAAAATTTCCTCGCGAAAGTTACATCGACTTGACGAAATTATATAAAAGACCGGAGGTGTTAACTTCTGTGGCACTATCACAAACACCACGCCTTGGGTCTTCCGACAAAGCTCGATCCACAAATCCCTAAAGTCGAATAAGCCTAAAGCGCTTTGCAACTCTTACTCTAAACTCTGAAACCCCTTCAAACTCTGAGCAGTCAAGAAAGCCGTCCTCCCAGCTATCCAGGATCCCTGCAGCCGACGCAGTCACCTCCTGGAGCGGGCGCGGGGGGTAATTTCAGGTCTGGATCTAGAGGGATTGTGCAAAGAGCGGAGGTTTCAGTCTGGGATTTGAGGTTTAAGTCTGAGTTTCGGTCATTTAGCTGCTTTTCGGGCTTTGGGAAAACTGCCAAAACCCCAAAAGGTAGCGAGACGACGATCCAGTGACCATCCGTATTAAGACTCAAAACGGACAAAGTCCAGGTGTCAAGGGTAAGCAAGCTTCAATTCCGGAAATGAAATTTCATACTTCAGCTGAAATGGTCGAAGACCTTCGTTTTGCTGCAAAGGCACTGGTATCTAAAGCTTCCCGCCATACACTCTAAACCCCAATACTTAATACATCACAGACTTGAAACCTTACCTTTGGTTAGTAGAGAATGGAAGAATGGGGTACAATGATAACCACTATTACTACGATTCTTCCATTCCCTACTAAGCAAAGGTAAGAAACTCAAGGATCCACACCCACTCCCCTAAGGGTCCATGTACTCAAACAGTATATACTTTGGCCCCAAAGTACCTACATAGGGACACATTGAGGCCAAAGTATATACTATTTGGGTACATGGCCCCTTAAACCCTAAACCCAAGCCCTTATAGTAGCCCTTAAAGGATCCCTATTTGGGTACAAGGACCCTTAGGGTTCCAGCCCACCTCGGCAGATTGCAGCTGTGCGAGGCGCGCCTTTGTTGGTAAGAATGTTTCGGCTTCTGGGTTGCCGAAAGCATTTCAGCCTTGTACAGACGCACCCATGCATATGTATATGTATATATGTATATGCATATATGTATATGTATATGTGCATGTGCATGTGCATGTATATGTATATGTATATGTATATGTATATGTATATGTATATGTATGTGTGTGTATGTATTCATGTATGTATACACGAGTTTTAAAAAACGTATACATACACGCATCTGTGTATATCTACATACACTGTACATAGAGAGAGAGACAGAGAGAGAGAGAGAGAGAGAGAGAGAGAGAGAGAGAGAGAGAGAGAGAGAGAGAGAGAGAGAGAGAGAGAGAGAGAGAGAGAGACAGAGAGAGAGAGAGAGAGAGAGAGTGAGCGAGCGAGCTTCCAGGGCTCCTTACTAGGTTTCAGGCGAATGGAATTTAGGGCCCACCTTGGCTTGGTGGACCGGGCCAGAACATGCGAAAAGATGCACGCGTAGTATTGCGCAGGGTACTGTTACTTTCTGTTACTCTTCAAACATGGGCGGTTGTCAATAATTATGGTCCCCTTTTGGGTCCTCATTACAATACGGCGCCTTATATTTAGGGCGCCCAAAAAAGGGCCATAATTTTGAAAACTACCCACATGAGTGTGTCAGAGCAGTCTAGGGCTGCTTGTCGAGGTTTGGATGGTGCTCGAACCTGTTCTGAAAACCCAAACACAGGTTTCAGTTCTGGAAGTTCCATGATTGGCTTTCGTGGGGTCGTAGGAATCTGAGTAAGCTTGCTTTAATACAGGTACGACAATCTCTAACCCCAACATTTGTCTTTGCAACCTGTCAAACCCTGAAGGATTCACCTAGGACAGCCCAGTCGAGCGGCCAAAGGCAAGAGCAAGCTGCTCCCAACGTTGCCAAAAAGCCGTAGCAACAAAGGCCGTCCCAGTCCTTACAGCTTGTTTTTTTCGTGCGCATGTTGGAGGATTTCGAGTCTGGGTAGACCTCAAGCCCTGGACTAGACTCCACGGATTCATCAGTCTGTAGAGCATGAGGTCTATGCAGAGAGTAAGGCTTCGGATGATGTGAAACAAGGATTGGAAGTTAAGGAACCGAAGAGATAAATACCGTGGGTCGCTTGAGAAGGCGAGGCAGGTGCACGCTTGTTTCAATCACCACACAGCCCACAAACGACACTCCTCCGACAGTTGTAAAATGAATGAACACTTTCAACGGTTAGGGGTTCCACCACGGTCGGCGCTGAAGGCCATGTACTTCCGGTTCCCAATCGTTCGTCCCAGTTCGGTGTGCGTTGTGCCGCACGTGTTTTCTTTAAAGTCAATCCTTCGAGAAACGTCCCTGCATCAGGCCGGAAATTTACAAAACGACGAGGCTGCCTGTCCTGCCCCCTGGCCCTCTCCGTGCAGCTTGCAGCCTACATCAGGGTCGTTACACATTTTAAGGGCTCAAGAGATCAACGGCACAAGATGCCCGAGTTCAATTAGAACAGTCCTGAACCCAAAACCCTCAAAAGTTCCAAAGCCCCCACCGCCAGTGGAAGACTTTGACTTGGGCTGCGACGGGCGCCACAGCCTAAGCCTCGAGCCGCCAGGGCCTGGAAACTACGGGTTTACGCTCTCGCAACTCGGACATGCCTGACGAGGTCTCTGGTGCTGAGTTTAGGGCTTTGGGGGTTTAGGACTGGTTTAGGGGTTTAAGACTGGTTTAGAGTTTAGGA